CGCCTAGGCAGGGGCAGTCCCAGTTGATCTCGCCGGTCTCGGGGTTGAAGGCGCCTTCCTGACCAGCTTCCGCTTCGAGGTCTTCGATTGAGCCGCCTGGGGCTGGGCTCCCGTCCTCGCCTTCGGTAGCAGGTACAGCGGCAGCGGTTCCCTCAGACTCTTTCGACGCATCGGATGCTGGTGCAGATGCAGCAGCGGCTTCTGCGGCTGCGGCGGCCTTGGCCTTTGCTTTGTCTTCGGCGGCGCGGGCAGCGGCGCGTGCGCGCTTCTCGGCAACGACGGCTTCGATGGTTGGGAGCTCGCTCTGCTGGATATGGTGGATACTATCTTCTAACCTATCAATGGCAGCTGCACACTGGTTAGTCCATGGTCCATGAATCCTGATATTGCCGGTGCCGCTCGTAATTTGGAAGGTGGGTAGCCATACCTTCTTCTTGCTCTGCAAAGATGTCGGTCGTATTATAATAGTACAATCCAGCTCCGGCCAAACCCCAGCGAACCGCGGCGCCCTTCCATGTCCGCTTCTTCGGCGCAGCGGAGGTGGTGAGGAATTTGCGAGAGGGCGAGGCGACACAGGAGGTCAGCGCGCGGCGTCCAACAGTGCGGGCGAGCATCGTGGAAACGGGGAGGGAGGTGAGCGCCGGAAAGAAGGTCCAAAGAAGTCAATCGCACAAAAAACGGTAGTTGAGGAACCGCCGGCGTCAGTCGCTGATGCAGGTAGACAAAAGAAACACGATGGGCGTGGTAAGAACGGCGAGGGGAGAGCGTAATAGACTCGGATTAGTGATGATTTCGGGAGTGATTGGAAATAAAATTCCACGTGACCAGGCCGTATTTTTCCGGGTTTGTAGGGGTTCTCGGAGAAACAATGATACAACCGAACCGCACATTCAGCTAAGTATAATAGGACTAATAATTATACAGACACAACAAAAACGGGGATATGGTTTAGTGGTATAACGCTTCTTTAGCACTCGAGATTCGTCTCCTGTAACATAGAAGAGGTCCGGCGTTCGATTCGCCGTTTCTCCAATAGAAACAACCTATTGGGATCAATCCTTGATTATACTTTTTTGTCAATTTTTTTGGGGCTTTTCTTTCAACATTTTTTGCGACGTTGTCATGTCGTAAGACTTACATAGTCTTGTGAGTATAATCAGCGATTCAACTGCTGGAAAGGGAAAGAGAATGGAACCATTCACTTTTTGTCTGGTGCCTATTTTTACGCGGTATTTTCATGTTTTGTGCCATTCACAAGTACTCACAATACTTCTCCTTTCGTTACCGAGGCAATATTTTGCTCCCTAATAAAGGCCTCTGGTAAATATGAAACAAGAATCGGAGTTGATAACCTTCTGTTTTTCTCACTTGTGAAACTCTGACTGACAATGTGAGATCATAACAACTGGCTCCAACAAAACCAATCAATCCCTCAAAGCCACACCTCGAATGGCGACCACTCCAGCTCCAATCACCAGGTTAATTAATCAACGCCCCCCGTCCACCTCCAAAGCCCCATCACATTTCCCAACGCCAGGTTACCTTAAGCCGAAACCCCTATTCCTCCTCCTCACCCCTCCCCTCATACTCCCTCCAAACCCTCCACACCTCCTCCCCAACCTCCACCAACGCCTTCCCCTCCCTAATCACCACCTTCATCTCCCCCTCCAGCGTCCCGGCCCAACCCTAAAAATATGCTCTAGCTCCACACTAACTAATAACCTCTTCTTGTCCACCAATAGAGCAATTTATATTTGCTTTAACGCTGCTCCATTTTGTAGCAGCCTCATAAAACTAGCTGTAGTAGGAAATATAAACCCTAGTAGGCTTGGCATCATAATTGTCTAATTAGGATAGCGGCTGCTATAGTGTAGTAGCTAGGGTTACTATCCATAAGTAGTTAGTTAAATTGAATTGGGTTAGCTGTAAAACTGTGTTCTGACGTATGAAGATGAAGTTGGTGATAATTACTTTATGAATACCCCCTATTTAATGTTCTAGTTAACGTTCTAGGCTAATATGCCTCCTATCTAGCCTTTGAATCTACCTACAAGATCAAATTACACTCTCTCAATCTCGGATGGAGACTATAGCGAACTAGAACAAAAAACCTTCACTAAGATATCAAATTAGAGACAGAGTATGGCTATCTACTCGAAATATCAAAACCTAGAGGCCTTCTAAAAAGCTTGATTATAAGCAAGTTGGTCCATTTAAGATTCTAGAACGAATTAGACAAGTGGCATATCAGCTAGAACTACTAGCAAGTATGAAGACACATCTTGTTTTTCACAGCAACTTATTAAGACTTAATTTAAATGATGCATTACAAGGCCAACTTGTAATGGTGGGTGCACCAGATGTGAGAATCTAGCCACCTAAGGAAGGGATGATTTTACTAAGACAACACACTGTCTTAGGAAAAAGAGCCAAAGGGTCATAGCTTAGACTATTCCACAACGCAGCAATCAGGTGTATGATGTAGTGGAGTGGTTTAGACAAGTTGTAACAAATGTTGAGTCTGAGAACTCAGGAATAAGTCAGAGGTTAGCACCTCACTGACTTTTCAGAAACAAGGAGTAACAAGATGAATGCTTGGAAGCTTGGAAAAGATGTGGAAGTATGTGATAGTCGATTTACTGTATTGTCTGCTTGCCCTTTCTTAAGGAAAGGGCAATCCTATTTATGCTAAAGGAATGTAGTTCTCTCATTTTCCAAGACTTTCCATGACTTACCAGGCTTGGTAACTGTAGTCGACGTAAGAGAATCCCATAGAACCATCTCTTAGGTTTGTAGCCTATAGGAAGTAAAAGGAGGTCCAAGGTCAGAGTACCCCTATAGACAAATTATGTCATAACTTAACCAATCTTGTGGGTAACTAAAGAGCGATGACATGTAATGCATCATAGAGGTTCGTAGGAGCTTTTAGAGCTATCGTTCATGCTCTTAGGCCTCTAGTGTCATACTGACATTCGTTGCACTCAGTTTGCTATCAAACTCAAGAGCAAACTTGGAAATCTCCTCCTCAAACCTACAAGTCACTATACATATTTTGGCTTATCACACCAACAACAAGAGCAATACTACTCAACGATTGCTACAACCATCTATGATTCATTACACGTCATCGCTCCTTAGTTACTGGGCCGATATTACCACATAGCATATCTCTACAACCCTCTATGATTCATTACATGACATCACTCATACTACCATATGACATATCTCTACCAACTAGAGGCCTAGGAGCATGAACAATAGCTCTAAAAGCTCCTACGAACCTCTATGATGCATTACATGTCATCGCTCTTTAGTTACCCACAAGATTGGTTAAGTTATGACATAATTTGTCTATAGGGGTACTCTGACCTTGGACCTCCTTTTACTTCCTATAGGCTACAAACCTAAGAGATGGTTCTATGGGATTCTCTTACGTCGACTACAGTTACCAAGCCTGGTAAGTCATGGAAAGTCTTGGAAAATGAGAGAACTACATTCCTTTAGCATAAATAGGATTGCCCTTTCCTTAAGAAAGGGCAAGCAGACAATACAGTAAATCGACTATCACATACTTCCACATCTTTTCCAAGCTTCCAAGCATTCATCTTGTTACTCCTTGTTTCTGAAAAGTCAGTGAGGTGCTAACCTCTGACTTATTCCTGAGTTCTCAGACTCAACATTTGTTACAACTTGTCTAAACCACTCCACTACATCATACACCTGATTGCTGCGTTGTGGAATAGTCTAAGCTATGACCCTTTGGCTCTTTTTCCTAAGACAGTGTGTTGTCTTAGTAAAATCATCCCTTCCTTAGGTGGCTAGATTCTCACATCTGGTGCACCCACCATTACAACTAGCTTCTTGACCTCTGTGACCATCGTAACAGACAGCTCTTTGCTTCTGAGCTTGTAACTACCTTTGTAGTAGCAATAACTCTCATTACAAAGCCTGCTTCATCAAAGTTGTAGATATCCTTCTCTAAGATGCCATATTTTGCAGCTATGTTTTGTACAAGAGAAAACCACTCTTGAATTATCTTAGGATCTTCGCATTTTGCTCGTTTGTAATCGTACTTCTAGCTGAACTTTGCTTTGATTTCTATACGACGCTTTATGATGTTGGTTGTCTAGTTTATCCTAACAGGGCTCTCACCTTGTTTAGAAAGTAGAAGATCCGCCATTTCTTGTCCACCTTGTGGCTAGGGCAGAAATCCATGCGAATCTAGGTCGAGGATGTACTAAACAAGAGCTGACTCTTTGTACAGAGTTATTTTCGTGATTTGGGACTAGAGTCACATTAGGGAGTCATGGTATGGATTCGTTAACGTAATGTTGTTCAAGGGATATCATATGATGCTACAGCTTGTTTAATTGCACTAATAGCCAGTAGTATTCTACCCTCCTGATTAGAGGATTGGGCTTGTGTTAGTTGCAGCATGTTAACTGTAGTCAACTTCACACGTTTTGGTGTTTTCGTAGGCCACTTGCTTGTGTAGGCCACTCGCTTGTGAAATACATTAGATATATATATAAAATAATAACTTTCTAGAAGTTTCTACCTTAGTTTCTAGATCCTTCTATCTTGCTAATTATATTATAAATTATTTTCTAGAAACGTCTATTTCGATTTTGTGCTGACTAAGCACTAATCCTAATTAGGAAATACTCATGAGTATTTGAGTGGTATGAGTACGAGGATTTACTATACTCGTGAGTAGACAGTTTTAGCAGCCTGACCTTCGGCCTGACCATTACCCGTAGTAGTAATTGCCAAGCCCCCCCCCCTGCCACCCCCCCGGTAGCCCCGATTTTCTTGCCTTCGGTGATTACCCGTTCTGGTAATCAGGAAGGCACGACTGAACAGACTTCTGTTCAGTCGTGCCCTCCTGATTACTACCGTATGTAGTTAGTTTAGATATTAGTAATACACTTGTTTGAACGTTCCTCATGATGATGCGCATCGAAAAAGTTATAATTTCGCCCTATATACTGTATTTTAGAATGCCGCCAGCCACGACTGCCGTTCCTACTGCTCTCCAGTCTGTCTGGAGAGTATCTATAACATCGAATAAGGGGTTTGAGTCCCCTAGTCGACTCGCAAGCAGCTCGAATAGTCGTAGCCAAAGCGTCTTCGACGACGACTACGACGATGAGGAAAGCGAGCTTGACGGCTCTCCTCTACCATTTACACCGATAACTACGAATTCTACGATTATTACGACTCAACAGACACCGATAAGGAAGCGGAAAAGGGGGCAAGAGGTGGATATACAAGATGATAACGGGGGACGCCGGCCGGCGCTGTCAAACCAGGAACATATCATACTCTTGAAGATCTGTATGCGGTTATCACATACATACCGGACATCTGAAGCAGCAACGTTCTTTCGGAACGTTACTGCTGATTGGCAGTTGGAATCCGGGAAGGAGCATGATACTCTTCGTCGGGTACTACGGAGGAGTATTACTGCCCGCCGGAAATACCTTGCTGAGCTTGGAACCGGCGAGCAAGATGGGAGGACGGAGCGACAGTTATACGAGGACAGCTGGATTGCTGTCCTTGATGCTGAAGCTACAGTTATACAGCAGCGGAGGGAACATCGAGGAGCTATTGGAGCAAAGACTGAAGCAAGCGTTCGGGCCCGCGCTTCGCTCCTTACTGCGATGAAAGAGAAGCGGGTTATCAACCCCCCTTTACCATCACCCCGGAACCGTATACCAACTCTCCAAGTGCAGGAGTTAGCTGGTAGTGAAGCAAACGATGCTATCACTATTGGTGACGACGATGACGACCAACTCCAGCCCTACGCCTCCTCCTACGCCTCCTCTTTTTCTCCGCCACCATCCTCCTCCTCATCCTCGTCTCGTCAGCCTCGAAAGCGCCAAGCTACTACACTTGACGAGGATGAGGTATTCCATGACCGTGAAGAGCGCCGTGACGAGCGCTTCTTCTCAGTTATGGAAAACTTCTCGAAGGCAGTTGTAGAACCGCCTTCACAAGTGATAACTACCCCTCACGATATCGAGGGGCAGTTAGAAGCACGCCTCCAGCAACAGGAGAAGCGTATTCAAGCTGGAATTGCTGCCCAGCTTGAAGACTTACGAAAAGAACAGATGGTGATGTTCTCTTCGTTTATGCAGCAGATACGACAGAGAGAAGGGAGAGAGGAAGCAGGGTAGAACAAGTATGTAGCTATATAGTTTAAATACATAAATACGCTTCGATTGATGGCGGGTCTACTTTGAAGCGCCGTGATATCAAATTGCCATGAATACAGGTATGGCAATTCGTGAGTAGAATAGCTACAGCGAAGTACGCTGCAACTGGTTGACTTCCAGATCGAAGGCCTTTACTAAAGGCCATATATGAGAATAGCTGTTGAGTCCGGCCAAAGCAGTTCTCAACAGCTATTCTCGCAGATGATAACGAGCGGTTAAACGCTTGCTCATCAAGAGGCAGATGTCGTCTGCCTCTTGGATGCGAAAAGGGGCTCATAATACCCGTTGTGCATCGATAAGCTGGATCACCGTAAAGGAAGAGCCATTCGGGCTCTTCCATATGATCCATCAATTGCTTGAGTCTGTCTTCGCAACCAGACTCAAGCCACATCATCCAGTCGTTTGCGGTACCAAGAAAGGGTCCGCATAACGACGAAGCAAGCCCATCAGGCGTCACGATGGCCTGCCATTGCTGGCCGTGTTGGCGTTTATGGCCATTATAAACGGCCCGCTGGGCTTCATCACTTCCAGCAGGCCGACAGAATCCTCGAAAGGTTCCGTCAACGAAACCCCAGATCCTAGGGCAGCCACCAACAGCTTCTACGGCTGTTGAGAACGCTTGCATCTTCTCATATGATAGATGCGGGGCCCAACTAAGAGTCGGCCCAAACTGGGCAACAAGATATTGGCAAGTATCGTTGAATACGATACTTAACCATGTGATAGATCGACCGAAGATTCTCACATGGCTACACCATCGGCTTGGATAAGCCAAGCGGGCAAGAACTACACAAAGCGCAGTCTCCGGACTAGCAACAATTCGGTGACGGTATGATAATTCCTCAAAGCGGAGGAGCGGAATGAGGCAGCGGATCTCTTCAATCGAGAAGCTATATAGGAATTAGACTAGAATATGAAAAGGGGCTTTTTATCATACCGTAAATACAGCTTCACTTTGACTGGCGACCCCTCACCCCAAGTATCAAGACTCCAATCGCAGCGCTGGTATTCTAATGGCGGCCTATATGGTGGCCGTCGAACGATCCTAGCTAACTGCTGGCGGCGGTAGCGACGACGGTGCTGCTGGCGTGAGCGATAGTAGAATACTATTGCAACAGCTGCAGCAGCTATTATAACCCGCTGCTTATGAGTTACCATTTTATTACTATATAGCTATCTACAGCTTCAAACGCTACTTCAGGAGGCAGTGTTTGAATATGATATTACTACATTGGGCGTTACTACAGGGGTGGTAAGGGACTACTACTACTATAAGCTACGGCGAATATTAGCATCACTTGGCAGCTTGGCAATTACTACATTAGGTAATGGTCAATTACATCGTTGGTCAAGCTGCTAAAACTGTCTAGTATACTCGAGTTTCGAACCCTGACGTTATAAATAAATAAATTTACATTAAAATACGTTATATCACAACAAACAAACCACACCACACCAAAAGAGCAACGCAGAGTAGAGCCAAGATATATTTTCATTTCCCTCCCCCATCCTTCTATTACAGCTACTATAATCACACACACACACATTTAACTTTTCCCCCCCTCCCCTCCCCCCCCCAAAAAAAATCAAAAACGCGCAGATAGCACCCAGCCGCCAATTTTCCACACACGATTCCAAGCAAAACAGACCGCAGCAAAACACCCACCAAACAAACAGCGACAAATAAAAACCCCCCCAAATAAAAAAAAAAGCGGAAAATCAAAATGCTCCGTGCCAAAATGCAAGCATCCCCCACCCCCCTCTCCTTCTTTCTCACTCCCTCTTCCCCCTACATCACCCCGCCCCTTCCCCCCTCACAATAGTGAGACAGACTACATATTAGCCAACTCCCCATCAATAGCCCGATCCACAAACGCCCTCCTATCCACCCCCCCAACGCCCCCCCCGAGTCTCTGCTCCACCAGCGCCCTAACCTGCTTCTTCGTCACAGTATCCAGATCCACATCCGCCAAACACGCCCTTATCGCCTCAACAACCGCTTCATCGCTCGGTCCACCCGGTGCGGGGCCTGCACCACCCATCGGGTAACCTATCGTGTTTCTGTTCCCCCTAGCACCAGGACCGGGAGATGGGGAACCCATCCCCCCGAGTAGGTTTTCGGATGAAGGAAGGGTGGAGACGTGAATCGTGTTCGGTCGCGCCCCCCCGGCCGCATAGGGATTCTCCATCGGCGAGCCGAGGGAAAGCATACTAGGCCGCCTCGTCACCTGCTGTGGCTGATCCGCATACGGCGATGTCGAGAAGACAGATTGTCTACTAACCTGCCCCTGCTGCCCCGCTCCATACGGCGACGGGAGGGGCGGCGGGATGAAACGCCGCCCCGGCACCCCCCCACCGCCTCCAAAGCCCATGGTCGAAGCGGGTTTGACAGACGAGTACACAGAGCGGAAATCATCCATCTCATAAGCATCATCATACGGATTCTCCAACTTCTCCAACCCCGCCGCGCGGCGCCCCGGTAGGGCGTTGGCAGCTGCGTAATCGTCCCAGCGCTGCAGCGGGATAGAGCGCGGGTCGAAGCCATCATCATCGATGGCGACGAGGCGTTTATCCCCGGACTCGCCGATGACGATGCGCGTGGAGCCCCAGGTGAAGTTGTCCTGGTTCCAGAAGGAGTAGACGGGGAGCACGAAGGAGTAGATGGGGAAGGCGAGGATGTAGATGATCATCCAGCCGATGTGCTGCCACTGCCGCTTGAGGATGAAGATAATGGCTTGTAAACCGTAGACGCAGGCGATCATGATGATGGAGATGAGCGGGAATTGGGATTTCCCGAGCGCGACGGTCGTGATGAGATAGACCAGGTACACGCACGTGGCGGGCAAGATAATGGTTCCGAAAAGATCGATAAAGACGACGAAACGCATACTGAAGCAGCAGAATCCGCACATCTCCCTGAGACGCACCAGCTCGGCCAGATTATGGATCGTAGAGTTGATCCAGCGACGACGCTGGGACAGGAGCACGGACCAGGTGTCGGGTGCGGCGGTGCTGGCGTAGGCGTCGGGGATGAATTTGTACGACATGTAGGGGAAGTGCTTGGTCATTAGGGTGGTGAGGAAGCGGTCCTCGCCGAGGGAGAGGAGGTTCTTCTTGTGGAGCGTGTCGACGTCGCAGTCGGCGTATTCGCTGACGATGGCGTCGGAGATGAGGAGGGGCTTACCTTTGTCAGCGGTGCGGAGGCGGTACATGGTGAAACTATCCGAGTTAGCATGCCGTCGTCTCCAATCATCGTATAACCAGAGCAGAATCGAGAAAACTCACCATCCAGGCAAACAAGTAACACTCCCAAACAGCGACTCAAACGCCTTCGCCAAATGATGCGAAATAAAGTACTCATAGACCTGAATCATCGTCCACCAGCTCTTCTCCTCATTCTCCAAACTCGTCTCCCCACACACCCCCGCAATCCTCGCATCATTCGCGCACGCCGCGACGAGGCGATTCAGCGAATCCTCCCTCACGCTCGTATCCGCATCAACCATGAACAGGTACTCGTACAGCTCCGGGTCGACGCCGATGATGTTGTTGATCTGGTGGAACATCTCGAGCTCGAGCGGGTTCATGGGGGAGCGGTGGTGCACGCGGTTGAGGAAGCTCATGAGCAGGATTTGGGAGTCGCGCTTGCCGCGGTTGCCGGGCTTGGATTTGGATTGCTCGGATTCCTTGCCGACTTTGACGATGACGAGGTAGGGGACGACGTTGCCCTCGAACTCGTACAGGCCGGAGTACACTTTGCCGTAGTTGAGCTGCTCGCCGCTTTGGCCGACGGAGTGGAAGGGGAGGGCGGGGGGGTCGATCTTCGGGTCCACGCCTAGGATGTCTAGGACGATCTTCGGGGTGGGGCGGTCGTTGCCACCACCGACAATCATGCCGTCGCAGATAACACAGAGGAGCTTGCGCTTATTATCATACTGCAGCGCCGTCAACGAATCAAGCGCCTTGCGCAGCGACTCCTCGCCTTCCGTATACGCGGGAACCTGGCAAACAACGAATTTATCCTGCGCCGCCGGCCTTCGCTTCGACCCGAACTGCAGCGCAGCCAGGAACTTGACACCAATGACCATGCACAGGATGATGGTGAAGGCGAGGAGGATGTAGTTGTTAGCTTGACAGCGTGGGGTCCAGCGGAAATCGGGGATGCCGATGTAGAAGGTGTTCTTGACGCAGTTGAAGCTGTTCTTGATGGAGGTGCTCTCGGCGTCGCTGGTGGCTGTGGCGAGGAGCTGGGCGTACGCGCCGGTTAGGTCTTGGCCCGGGTTGTTCTTGACCATGGTCGAGAAGCCGGGGTTGAGGTAGTCGTAGAGGGCTTGGCCGCCCATCGTATGGAGGGTGTAGAAGTAGTTGTTGAGATCGTAGATGGCGCCGTCGATGATGAACCAGTAATGGCTATTATCCGAGCCATCCGACTTGACTAAGTCCGCCTTGGTGACGAGGTGGCCCTTGTAGTACTCCTTCATGCGCGGCAGGAACGTCGCCTGGTACCAGTCCTGAAGGTGCATCTTATCCGTGGTAGAGCTATCCCTGAACGGTCCAGAATCATGCAGCGCCCAGCTGAACGCTGACTGCGTACCATTCTGCATAACATAAACCAACGGATCGGTAACGACATCCGGGCACGAAAACGTCAACGGCGGCATGAAATACGCATCCAGATTCAGCCCCCTCAGCTGTCCCATATCCGAGCTCCGCACCGGCCTCGACGTCGTCCCATGATCCTGCTTCCAGAAATTCGAGATATCATACACCTTGCCATGGATGCTGACCCAGAAATCATTATCCCCCTGATGCGTCGCGACGTTCGCCGTGTCCCAGACCTTGTCGAAGTTCGGACACAGCAGCCGCCCAAACACCACAATGTAGAAGACGATGATGCCGTTGATGAGGAAGATGATGAAAACCAACACCACCTTCTCGCGCCACGCCATGCGCACATCGGGCCGCTTCATGCGCCCAACATGGCGCAGCATGAACGAGGGAATCCAGAACGTAAGCGCCCACACGATGCCCACCCACAGCCTGCGACTGAACGTAACCTTATCCGTCACGACCGCCCGGGGATTCGCCAGCTCCGGATCGAGATTATCCACAAACTCGCCCAGCTCATTGTCATAATCCACATGCCCCTGCGTGTTATCCCCCTTGAATCCCAGCCCATAATCCCCCGCGCCCTGGGCCCGCGTCGGCGCCTTCGACTGCGCGCCAAACACGCTCTTGGCCCTCGCCCCGCCATCACCCGGCTGCAGGAACCCCTCCCTGCTATCCTGGTGATGCAGCTCGGAAGGCGCGGCATTGAAGAACCCACTCGCATCGTTCCCCCCAGCCGGGTATCCCGACTCGAACCCCCCAGCACCCAGCAGGTCGCCAAGGACGCCGTACTCGCCACCCGCCTGGGTAGGGGTGAGATCAAACATACTCTCCGCCTCCCACCAAGCGCCCTCACGCATCCACACGCGCTCGCGCCCCACGACGACCTCGCCGTTCGTCCACCCCCGCTCCAGGACCCAGGACTCGACGCCATCGCGGCCATCCTTGCATCCGAGCGAGGCGTAGCGGACCGCGAACTCATCATGGTCGAAATCGGCCGTGAAATCCAGGTTCTTCGTGCGTCGGTTCGCCCACTCGGGCAGGCGCCACGCGCGCAGCTGGCGCGACATGGTGCCTGCGGACCAGGCGGAGGTGGTGGAGGGGAGGGAGACGAGGGAGGCGGGCGCGTCGTCCACGGGGTGCAGGGAGAGGTGGTACCAGACCCTGCTGCTGCCGAGGACGGTGGTGAGGTCGAGGCGGCCCTGGCGGCCGAGGTTGACGCCCTCGCCATCGACGGGGAAGATGATGGTCTTCAGGAAACCGTCTTCCTCGCCTTCGCGACCGACTTTCTCGAGGACGGCCTCGCGGCGGTCGCGGGCGTGCTCGCGGTCCCGGCCGGGGGGCCCGGTCATGATGCCTAGCTCCGGTCCGACTTCCGAGACGGCATTCTCCATCTCGCGGAGCACCGAGGATCCAGCAGCGACGATATCCACGCCGTCCTCCTTCATCTCGGCGTTGATGCCTTGGGTGTCGTCAAACACACCCCTCATCGCCGCGGCCTTGCCGAGCGCCACGCCCGGCACCTCGAGAACGGTGATGCACACCGTATCCCCGCTATCCTCGTCTGTGCCTGGCGTCCTCTCGCCATCACTCGAGTCATCCACATTCCTAATCCTCAGCATCTCAGACGCAATGGCCGAGTTCGCCCTGGAAACCACCCAATCCACCACCGCCTCGTACAGTGCGCCGACTAACGTCTCCCTCTCCGCAGTCGAGCACTTCGAAGCCAGCAGTTCCGGGTCAAGCCCAAGCAAGCCTCCAATATCCTCGCAGACCTCCTCGAGCGCATCGCCATCGAGGTTGAAGCTCAGCGAATCGCCCAGCTTCAAGATCCCGATAAGCATAGAGAGCAGATTCCGGTGCGCGGAGCCCTTAATCCCGATCTCCTTGAGACCCGCGCGGAAGTCCTCCGCCGCCGCCGAGTCATCAGCAGTAGGGACGTAGGGAGGCGGATCGTACGTGCCCGAGCGCGAGAGCAGGGCATACGTGGACGGGGCCTTGAGACCGAGGAACTCCCGCTCGGCAGCCGTGGAGGCGGAGGTGAGGAGGTAGTAGAAGACGTCGAAGGCGCGGTGGCCCGGGGCGGCGGGGACATTGAGCAGGCCGCGCGCGGTGTCGATGCCGCCCCGGGACAGGGCGAGCGCGGCGCCGGTGAGGTGCCCGTCGAGGGTCAGGGTGAGGGTGACGCCGAGGGCGGAGTGGAGGGGCGTGGACCCGTTTTGGGGCGTCACGGCGTGGGTGAAGGGGCGGAGGACGTTGAGGGCCGTGTAGAGTGATGCGGGCATCTTGAGGGGGAGGGTGGAGAGGAAAGGGACGATGACGGAGGGGGCGGATTCGTGGAGGTATCTGTTGGGGGGGGGGGGTGTTTGTTAGTATTTTGTTCTCACTTAGATGGTGTAGTGAGGGCTATCCATACCCGAGCATGATACACCCATCCTCCGCCCGTCTCCTGGCATGCTCCCAGGCTCTCGCCGCCAGAGCGGCGTCCACAACCCCGCCGGACCCGCCATTATGATCGACCTGCGTAGCCGTCAGCCAGGTGTTGACCACGAGGCTCGTGCTGGCATCCAGCTGGTAGGGCTGGGACGAGGTGTAGGTGTTGTGGAGGGCGTTGAGCAGGGTGGTCGTGGAGACCTGGGAGGACTGCTGGCCGGGTGAGTTGCGGGGGGGGCCTCGTATGGCGCCGCCCATGGAGCCGAGGGACATGATGGAGTGGCGGTTGTTGTTTGTCATGGTGGTTGTTGTAGTCGTCTGGCGAGGGAGTGTTGTAGTCGTCTGGCGAGGGAGTGTTGTAGTCGTCTGGCGAGGGAGTGAGGTGATGGTGGTTGTGCGGACACTCGCGCGGCCAGGTCAGAGTCTTGCTTGCTGGCAGCCGGTTTATTGCTGGCGAAGGCCCATGGAGAGAGATTGAACTGTCGGTTTAGGTGGAAGATTTTCTTGTCGAGGAAAAGGAAGGAAGGGTTAGGGAGGGTAGTGGTGGTAGTGGTGGTAGTGGTGGTAGTGGTGGTAGTGGTGGAGGGAGTAACGAGAGGCTGAAACGAACGTGGTTGATTAAAAGGCAGATAGATGGAGAAGGTAGAGGTAGAGGAGGAGGAGTGGAGGAGTGGAGGAGTGGAGTTAGGAGTAGTAGGAGTAGTAGGAGTAGTAGTAGGAGTAGGAGTTAGGAGTAGTAGGAGTAGGAGTAGTAGTAGGAGTAGTAGGAGTAGTAGGAGTAGTAGGAGTAGTAGGAGTAGTAGGAGTAGGAGTAGAAGGAATAAAAGGTATTACTAATCAAAGAGAGAATACGGATAGTGTTACGGATGCAGTTGTGTGGAATCAGGTACAGGGGAGGGAGGGAGGTAGAGAGTACGGGATTGACGACTAAAGGTACATGTGCGGAAGTACACTATGCTACAGTACTTGTATGGAGGGTGGAGTGGACGGTGGTTGCTAGAGTGGACGCTGGAGTAGCGCTGGAGTAGCGCTGGAGTAGCGCTGGAGTAGACGCTGGAGTGGACGGTGGACGCTGGAGTAGACGCTGGAGTGGACGGTGGACGCTGGAGTAGACGCTGGAGTGGACGGTGACGCTGTAGCGGCAGTGCCAAAAATAGCCATTCGTAGGTGCCTTTGCTCCCCCCTAAGATTACCCATGTCTTAGGTAAGACATGTCTCGCCAGCATACCCGCACGCACCCGCACGCACCCGCACGCACCCGCACGCTCAACCCAGATGCAGCTGGTTGTCTTTTAGATATCCCTATACGAGTAACAGGAGGGAGAGACAGCCAGCCTCTCCTCTACAGAAAGTATACATATACGATATGTATACATATAGTATGTATATGTATATATATAGTATGTATATGTATATACTATGTATATGTATATACTATGTATATGCATGCTATACTGTACTATACATACCTACTATACTATACATATCTATGTATAGTATACATATCTATGTATACTATACATACCCACCACTACACTACTGTCCTGTCCAACCACCACCTCCCTCCCCCCTCCCATCAACAACCTCAACAACATCAACAACCTCATCCTTCCCTTTCAACAATCCCTCACAGCCTCCTCGGCCTCCTCATGTCTCCCTCTCCTCCCTTCTGACGCACCCCCGACCCTTTTCCTCTTGAGCCTTCGCTCGTCTCGCTCTCTCCCGACATACACACTCGCTTTTCTGCTTGGGCATTTGAATTTACCTCCCACCACAACCCTCGTAACAACAACCACAACCACAACCCTACAATCCTCCCACCTCACCACTCCCCCACTGGGCCACGCTCACCGCTCCCACAACCGCCATGGCCCAACCCATCGGCCTCGCCGCCCACTCGCAATCCTCCCTCCCCTCTCTCCCCGCGCACCTCCAGTCCGACACTCACCTCACCGCCCACCTCGCCAGCAGGTTCCACGTCTCGCTCCCGACCGCGCAGCTGAGCAGCCATGCCTTGCTGAGCCTGAATACGTATGCGGGGAGCACGAAGGGGCCCGGGGGGGGGAGGGAGGGGAGCGCGATGGCGGGCGCGGAGGATGTGGCCGAGAGGGCCTATTTGAGGTTGGGTGCTAGGTCGGAGAATCAGGCGGTGGTGTTTTTGTAGGTGGTTCTTTTTTTTTGTTTTTTTTTTTTTTGGGGGGGGGGGGGGGGGAGGTTTGCTGCGGGTGGGATTGTTGGGCATGGGAGGCACGGGGGAGGATGGGGATGTTTGGCTAACCTTCTGTCTATCTAGGGGTGAATCGGGATCAGGAAAGACAACCCTACGCTCACATCTCCTCTCCGCCGTTCTGGCGAAATCGGCCACCCCGCTCTCTCAGAAACTCTCACTCGCCGCATACGTCTTCGACACCCTGACCACTACAAAAACAGCCACCACCCCCACCGCCTCCAAAGCAGGCCTCTTCTTCGAGCTTCAGTACGAAACCGCTGGCGCCACGAACCCCAGCCTGATCGGTGGGAAACTGCTCGACCATCGCCTGGAACGCACTCGCGTCGCTGCGGTACCGACGGGAGAGCGCAGCTTCCACGTCCTATACTACCTCCTCGCTGGCACGAGCGGCGCCGAGAAAGCACACCTGGGTCTTGATGGGAGCCACGGCGGCGTGTTCGAGGCCAACAAGGGCGCGCAGAAGCGATGGAGATACCTCGGACATCCCACACAGCTCAAGGCGGGGATCAATGATGCGGAGGGCTTCACGCTGTTCAAGACCGCCCTGCGCAAGCTCGAGTTCCCCCGCAGCGTCATCGCGGAGGTCTGTCAAGTCCTCGCAGCTATCCTCCACATCGGCCAGCTCGAGTTCGAGACCGCGGATGAAACGGCCGCCACCGCCGACGACAGCGGTGGCTACTCCCACGAGGGCGGGCACAGCTCCACCGTCGTCAAGAACAAAGATACCCTCGCCATCATCGCTGCGTTCCTGCAAGTAAGCGCTGCCGACCTGCAGACCACGTTGGGGTATAAGACGAAGATCCTGAGCCGCGAGCGGGTTACTATCATGCTCGATCCCAAGGGTGCGAGGGAGAATGCGGATGAGTTGGCGAGGATGCTGTATTCGCTGCTCGTGGCGCTGTTGATTGAGAATATCAACCAGCGGCTGTGTGCGGTGGAGGAGGCCGTCACGAATACCATCTCCATCGTTGATTTCCCGGGCTTCGCGCAGCAGTCCTCGTCGAACTCACATCTGGACCAGCTCCTCAACAACGCCGCGGCCGAATCGCTGTATAACTTCTCCCTCCACAACTTCTTTGAGCGCAGGGCTGAGATCCTGGAGAACGAAGAAGTCAACGTCGCAGCGACGTCTTACTTCGATAACTCGGACGCCGTCACGGGACTCCTCAAGCCAGGCAACGGCCTCCTCAGCATCCTCGACGACCAGACCCGCAAGAACCGCACCGACATCCAACTCCTCGAGAGTCTGCGCCGCCGCTTCGAGGGCAAGAACCCCGCCATCTCGGTCGGTAGCGCGACGGCCAAGCTTCCCGGATCCAACTTCGCCAGCCTCAACACCGCGGCGTCGTTCACAGTCAAGCATTTCGCGGGCGAGGTCGAGTACCCCGTCGCGGGCCTCGTGGAGGCGAACGGCGAGATCATCTCGGGTGATCTGATGAACCTTATTAGTTCTACTAAGAGCGATTTCGTCGGCCAGCTCTTTGGCCAGGAGGCCCTCCAGACGGTCGTTCACCCCCAGGAGAAGACGACCATCATGCAGGCCCAGGTGTCCTCCAAACCCCTCCGCAAGCCCAGCGTCATGGGCAAGGCCCGCACCCCGAAACTGACCATGAAATTCGGCGCCGAGGACGACGACGACGCCGCTGCTGACGAAGGCGGCGACGGTGCCGAGAAAGCGAAACCCACCAAGGGCGGAAGGAAGAGCCGCAACGACAAGGACCAAGCGCAGCAGGGCGCCGCAGCGCAATTCCTAAGCTCCATCGACAATGTAACCAAATCCCTCTCCGCCCCCAACACAAACGCCTACTTCGTCATGTGTCTCAAGCCCAACGACCGCCGCATCGCCAACCAATTCGACAGCAAGTGCGTGCGCACCCAGCTCCAGACCTTCGGCATCGCCGAGATAAGCCAGCGCCTCCGCAACGCGGATTTCAGCATCTTCCTCCCGTTCGGCGAGTTCGTCGCCCTCGCGGAGTCGGAGCAGATCCTCATCGGGAGCGAGAAGGAGAAGGTCGAGATGGTGGTTGATGCGAGGAGGTGGCCGAGTAATGAGGCTTTGGTGGGTAGCACGGGCATCTTCCTCAGCGAGCGCTGTTGGCTCTCCATCGCGAATCTGAGAGAGAGTCTCGGCGGGCGCTACGTCAACAGCGATGATGGCGTTGACGGCCTCTCCCCCGGCGACCCACACGGCAGCTACAGCAATTCGCGCGAAGGCCTTCCCCTGATCTCCGGCCGCGGCGCGTCGCCCGCAGGCTACTTCGGCGCGTCGGACACCCGCTCCGAGGCCGCGGTGAGCGTGTTCGGCAGGGGCGATATGTTCCGCGACATGGACACGCTGCAGCAGATGGCGGAGCGCGGGAACGAGAAGACGATGGTGGAGGTGGAGGAGGTGAAGACGAGCGGGAGCCGCAGGCGCTGGGTCTTCTTCGTGTACCTCCTCACGTGGTTCATTCCGGATTTCCTGATCCGTTGGGTTGGGCGGATGAAGCGCAAGGATGTGAGGATGGCGTGGAGGGAGAAGCTGGCGATTAACTTTATGATTTGGTTTAGTTGTCTGTTTGTCGTCTTCTTCATCGTTGTTTTTCCGATGCTCATTTGTCCGCGCCAACACGTCTTTAGTCCGTCGGAATTGACGTCGTATAATGGCAAACCTGGCAGTCCCGGCGCGCTTGTTGCGATCAGGGGTATGGTATTCGACCTCAACTCCTTCGCCACGCGCCACATCCCCGAGCTCGTGGACTCGAAACACGTCCTCGCCTACGCCGGCCTCGACGCCACCTCTCTCTTCCCCGTCCAAGTCTCCGCCCTGTGCGAAGGCAAAGACGGGCCCATCGACGGCTCGGTGCAGCTAGACTTCACGCCTACCAACATCACGGGCTCGGCAAATCAGATCGGCGCGGCTGATCCGAATAGACAGTACCACGATTTCCGCCTCTTCACCGACGACCCGCGCCCCAACTGGCTGGCGCAGCAGATCCGTATGCTGCGATCCGGGTACCTCAAGGGGAACCTCGGGTATACCTCCAAGTACGTTGCGACGCTGGGGCAGAAACAGCAGATTGGCATCTTGAACGGGCGCATCTACGATTTCACAAAGTACCTGCAGGGCGGCCAGAAGCTGGAGCAGATCGGGAGTAACCCCCTGCCGACGGACCAGGCGGCCGCGAAGAAGTTCATGGAGCCACTGGTGGTGAGTCTGTTTCAGAGCCGCTCGGGGACGGATGTGTCGAAGGAGTGGGAGGCGCTTGCGCTGAGTGCGGAGCTGAGGGCGAGGATGCTGTTGTGTATGAATAATTTGTTTTATGTGGGGGATTTGGATACGAGGAACTCGGTCAAGTGCCAGTTTGCGGCGTATCTGATTCTTGCTATTACGATTATCCTGTGCAGTGTCATCGTCTTCAAGTTCCTGGCTGCGCTGCAGTTTGGCACGAAGAATATCCCGGAGAACTTGGACAAGTTCATCATTTGCCAGGTCCCGGCGTATACGGAGGATGAGGAGTCCCTGCGCCGTGCCATCGACTCGGTAGCCCGCATGAAGTATGATGACAAGAGGAAACTCCTCGTCATCGTCTGCGACGGCATGATCATCGGCCAAGGAAACGACAAGCCCACCCCCCGCATTGTCCTCGACATCCTCGGCGTCGACGAGACCGTCGACCCCGAACCCCTCTCCTTCGAGTCCCTCGGCGAAGGCGCCAAGCAGCACAACATGGGAAAATGCTACTCCGGCCTCTACGAAGTCCAAGGCCACATCGTGCCCTTCCTCGTGCTCGTCAAGATCGGCAAGCCCTCCGAGGTCTCCCGGCCCGGTAACAGAGGAAAGCGCGATTCCCAGATGCTGATGATGCGTTTCCTTAACCGCGTACACTATAACGCTCCCATGAACCCGCTCGAGCTGGAGATGTACCACCAGATCCGCAATATCATCGGCGTCAACCCGACTTTCTACGAATTCATGCTCCAGATCGATGCTGATACCGTCGTCGCCCCCGACTCGGGTAGCCGCATGGTCTCCGCCTTCCTCGACGACACGCGCCTCATCGGCGTCTGCGGCGAGACGGCCATCGCGAACGCAAAGGCGACATTCATCACTATGATCCAGGTCTACGAGTACTACATCTCCCACAACCTCTCCAAGGCCTTCGAGTCCCTCTTCGGCAGCGTCACATGTCTCCCCGGCTGCTTCACCATGTACCGCATCCGCGCGGCCGACTCCGGGAAGCCGCTCTTCGTGTCCCGCGAGGTTATTGAAGCATACGCTAATATCCGCGTCGACACGCTGCACATGAAGAACCTCCTCCATCTGGGAGAAGACAGATACCTAACCACCCTCCTGCTGAAATACCACTCCAAGTACAAGACAAAATACATCTTCGACGCTCACGCCTGGACCGTCGCCCCGGACGACTGGAAGATCTTCCTCTCCCAACGCCGTCGCTGGATCAACTCCACCGTCCACAACCTCCTCGAACTCGCCCCGATGAACGAACTCTGCGGTTTCTGCTGCTTCAGCATGCGCTTCGTCGTGTTCATCGACCTCCTCTCCACCGTCGTCCAACCCGTCACACTAGCCTACATCGCCTACCTAATCTACATGGTCGTCTCCAACCCCGACGTCATCCCCATCACCGCCTTCATCCTCCTCGGCGCCATCTACGGCCTACAAGCCATCATCTTCATCCTCCGCCGCAAATGGGAGATGATCGGCTGGATGATCCTCTACATTGCCGCCATCCCCGTCTTCTCCTTCGCGCTCCCGCTTTACAGCTTCTGGCACATGGACGATTTCTCGTGGGGTAATACCCGTGTTGTTACTGGGGAGAAGGGGAGGAAGGTGGTCATTACTGATGAGGGGGTTTTCGATCCGAGTGCGATTCCGAAGAAGAGGTGGGAGGAGTATCAGGCGGAGTTGTGGGATGCGCAGACCGTCCGAGATGACCGCTCGGAGGTCTCGGGATACAGTTACGCAACGAAGAGCTTCCACCCCTACGGTGCTCCCGCTTCGGAATTCGGCGCCATGCCACCCAGCCGTCCCATGTCCGCCGCCGGCGGCGCCACCGCAGCCGGTCAATTCGGGAGCGCTAACCCCTACCGCGCCAGTATGGCCGGCATGGGGGGAGATGGGAGAATGTCCACATACGGAGGAGGTGGGGAGGTGGAGATGGCTGACCTCGCGGGGCTGCCGAGCGATGACGCGCTGTTGGCGGAGATTAGGGATGTGCTTGCTACGAGCGATTTGATGAGTGTTAGTAAGAAGAGTGTTAAGGCGGAGTTGGAGAGGAGGTTTGGGGTTGGGTTGGAGGCGAGGAGGGCGTATATTAATAGTGGTATGTTTGTCCCTTTCCCTTGTTTCTGGTGCCCCTTTTTTTATGGGAGTGTCCGGGTGTGGTCTTGTTGAGCAGTTGCTGATTTCTTTGATAGCTACTGAGGCGCTGTTGTCGAGTCAGCTTTGAGAACCTCGCGCGCCGATTCGGGTGTGATAGAGAGGAGGAAGCGGAGGGACGCATTCTAACGCGACGAAAACGGCTTTCTTCAACCCCCCTCTAACCTTATTTTGTGGAATAACTACGTACGCTATTTCGTTGTAATTTTTCCAGTTATTTTTGCTCTATTGCTTTTGTTTGTGTTTGGGGGGGGGTAAAGGGAAATGGATTTTGCGTGCATTCTTTTTTTTGGAAAAGGGGAGGTGGGAGCTGGTGATTTCTGTGCGGATTTGATTTGATTTGATTTTTTTAATACTGTGGCGGAAGTGGACGAGGGGGAAGAGGGGAAAGGGAAAGGGGGGGGGGGTGTATCTATGTATGTACAGTATAAACTATGAAGATGTCGAAGAGTTTGAAGATTGAATTAAGGGGGTGATAGTTTGTGATTTAAATGCCATGAAGGTCGCGAGGATGTGTCAGATGCTAACATGTAATGAAGATTGCGTATCGCCGCCCACTGAGAGAGCCGAAAAGTGTACCATGAGATCTGGATCTGTAGGTGCCGCGTCCCCTACCGGCATTGGATCCCCCCTAACTTCATCATCACTGTCGTCGTCTGCGAATTTCCTCCTCGGAACAACGGCACCTGGGGGGCTCAATGTGCAAATATCAGCTGTATAGGACAGGTTTCCCAATGATGCACACTGCGGGAATCCAGAACCGTGCCAGCCGGTGGGACTCGGTTACGTAGTAGTGGAGGCGGTCCCCCCCAGCCACGCACGGCAGACGATGGGCCATCGATCCGCCATATCGGTTGCCGTCAAGCTCCGGAATCCGAAAACCGACGTTTTCGGATTCCGGAGCTTGACGGTATCGATTCGGTAAACCTCGTGCTGCAAACCACGGGGCGCGTGTGTTATTTAGTCGCCCAAATCGATGGGCCTAGCAGTGTGTTAAATAGTATTATAAAATATTTATATGGTAAAAATTAAACTATAAATAACTACTTGATAAGAATAGCTTTAAGTCTGACAGCTTTCTCTATAAGCATTTGAAGTGTTGTAGGGCATTCTTCTTTGCTGAGTTCATACTTAGTAGAGCTCTTGAGCCCTTGGTAGTAAGTGAAGACTAAGGCTTCTTCATTCCAAGTCAAGTGAGAAGTGATTCTCCTAAATTCTGTTGTATACTGAGCAGCAGAGGTCTTTTGACATAGCTTCTGTAGCTCTCTTTCTGCTGTAGCAGTTTCGTTGATGTCTCCAAAGGTCCTGGTAAGTTCCTCTTGAAACTGGTCATAAGAGGTAATCAAAGGTGTAGTGGTATTTTGGTTGTTGCCACTAAGTCTTCTAAGATATGGCTCAAAGAAGTTGAATGCAGATCCACGGAGGTAGCTGGCAGCGAAATAGATCTTCTGAATGTCTGAGGTGAACTGATGAGGCCTGAGGGTGAAGTAGATGTCCAGTTGCAGAAGAAATCCCTTCAACTTCCTCCTGTCTCCATGGTATAAATCTGGAGTTTGCACTTTAGGAAGTGCACCTGGGATACTCGAAATAGCCAGAGGAGCTGTGGGAAGCTCTGTATGATGTGTCTGAGTTGAAGATTGTGTTGCTGAAGTGTTGGCTTGAAAGGTGTTTTCCAAATTCTCAAGTTTGTTTGCTATAGTTTGTATAAAGGCAAACAGTTGTTGCATCTGCTGTTCAGCAGTAGTTGACAGGGTTAGAAAATCAATTATAATCATGATTATGTAGTCGTAATCATAATCATGATTAACGTGGTTTATCAGTACATCGGACATATCAGTACCTCGGACACTTTTCATTGGCATTCTACTTTGAATATCAATAAATCAACCATAACATATTAAATTAACTATAACTAAGCGGAATCAGATGAACTAGACATATCTATAGCTTCTTGACAAGTTCGCGCATTATGACCAGCTTTTCCACAGATCCCACAGCATCGCCTAGACGGTTGCCCCTCCTTGCGACTACCCCCAACCGCACGTACGTCGCATCGTACCTGCTCATCCACATCCTTCTGTGCGATAATAGCCTGTGCATCCTCTACTATAAGTGCACCTCCTTCACAGACACGAGCCTTTTTAGCCCTGCGGCGTTTGCTAAGGGCTTCGTTGGCTGCTCGAAGGTGTAATGGTGGGTGCACCAGATGTGAGAATCTAGCCACCCAAGGAAGGGATGAATTTACTAAGACAACACACTGTCTTAGAAAACAGAGCCAAAGGGTCGTAGCTTAGACTATTCCACAACGCAGCAATCAGGTGTGTGATGTAGTGAAGTGGTTCAGACAAGTTGCAACAAATGTTGAGTCTGGGAACTCAGGGGTAAGTCAGAGGTTAACACCTCACTGACTTTTCAGAAACAAGGAGTAACAAGATGAATGCTTGGAAGCTTGGAAAAGACGTGGAAGTATGTGATAGTCGATTTACTGTATTGTCTGCTTGCCCTTTCTTAAGGAAAGGGCAATCCTATTTATGCTAAAGGAGTGTAGTTCTCTCATTTTCCAAGACTTTCCATGACTTACCAGGCTTGGTAACTGTAGTCGACGTAAGAGAATCCCATAGAACCATCTCTTAGGTTTGTAGCCTATAGGAAGTAAAAGGAGGTCCAAGGTCAGAGTACCCCTATAGACAAATTATGTCATAGACAAATTATGTCATAACTTAACCAATCTTGTGGGTAACTAAAGAGCGATGACATGTAATGAATCATAGAGGTTCGTAGGAGCTTTTAGAGCTATCGTTCATGCTCCTAGGCCTCTAGTTGGTAGAGATATGTCATGTGGTAGTATGAGTGATGTCATGTAATGAATCATAGAGGGTTGTAGAGATATGCTATGTGGTAATATTGGCCCAGTAACTAAGGAGCGATGACGTGTAATGAATCATAGATGGTTGTAGCAATCGTTGAGTAGTATTGCTCTTGTTGTTGGTGTGATAAGCCAAAATATGTATAGTGACTTGTAGGTTTGAGGAGGAGATTTCCAAGTTTGCTCTTGAGTTTGATAGCAAACTGAGTGCAACGAATGTCAGTATGACAGAAGGGTACGTACCTCAGCAGACAGAAGGGTGTTCTCATGTGCTAGTCGCTCTGTACCCTTTGCCAATGCAATAACTGTCCCGAAGAGTGGAGTTGGCGAGCTTCCTTGGTGACGGGCAATTCGATTTCGAACGAGGGTTGTTTGTGAAAGAGCTTCAGTTGGGTTGGAAGGGGTCTGGGAGACCCAAGGGTTGGTGTTGGCAGTAGAGGGTCTAGAGGGAGTTGGAGTCCGTAACCTCACGTCAAGCTTTGAAAGCACTGCTTGCGGGTCGAAATGCACTAAGCCAGCTCCGCGGAACCCGGACTGGGCGTTTTGGGCTGTCATGGATTCCAGATATGCTGCTCTAAAGGCGAGAAAGAACTCGACCTTGGTAATGTGGTTGATATGAGCCTTAATGAAGGTCTCAATCTGCTGACCATATGCCCACTTCAACACACTAAAGCACCCGACATCAAGTGGCTGAGTTAAATGAGACGAGTGGGGAGGTAGTCCAAGAGTTATAATGTTGTGTGCCTTGCAGTACTCTTGGAACTCGGCCGATTCATGACTCTCGTGCCCGTCTAACACCAGCATTCGATATGGACCCCTTGCACGAACAGCAGTATGTTTGTCGAAGTGTTTCAACCATTCTAGACCCGTCTCATTGTTTGTCCATCCATTGCTTGTCGGTTTAACAACCCAGTTGTGTGGAAGGCCGCCATCTGTATACCAATTTGCAAGATGATTCTTGCCTTTAACTACCAAAAATGGAGGAATACTCCAGCCGTCACTGTTGATACAAGCAATTGCTGTAGCCCATTCCCGATTCCCTGGCTGAACTGCCTTACCTCTGCCAAGTCGATCTGCAGGGGTAACAACCATTGCAGGGCAAATCACACCCATCATAAACCCAGTTTCGTCAAAGTTATAGAAGTCGCAGTCCAAAACACCATATTTTGCCCTCATATTTTCCACTAGTCGAAACCACGTGCCAATTAGTTCAGGATCTTCGCACAAGGCCCTTTGGAAGTCGTAAACGCGATTAAAATGCGTCTTTAATTCTGGACGTCGTTGTACAAATCGGTGGGCCCAGAGCTTCCCGACGCGCCTCCCTCCACGTGATTCGAGTATAAAATTTGCCATATCTTCTACACCAGCAAGCCGGGGTGCAAATCCTCTTGAATCCATATCAAGTATATTCTGAATAACCACCTCCTCTTCTAGTATAGTTAATTTCATCATTGCAGGCCGGCGTTCGTAGACAGTAGTTCGGCCGTTCATTCTGTCGCAGAGTGTAGAATGAGGTACTTCATAGAGCTTAGCAGCCTTCCGACGACTTAGATTTTTTGATGTTCGGATAGCCTCGATAGCTAGAATGATTTTTGCTTCTTGGGTAATCACTGACATAATAAAAGGTGAAAAAAACGCGTTGTGAAGTTAGAGGGTAGGAAATTCGGGAAAAGTGTCCGAGGTACTGATATGTCCGACGTACTGATAAACCACGTTATATGGAAAAATAAAAAAATTGGACATTCTACAAGTAATTATATTACTCATTATAGGAGTCATCATAAACATATTCCTACAAATAAGAAACAGGAACAAAGCTTAGAAGAAAGTAAGATTATTTAAATATCTTTATTTTAATAATAACTAATGTAACCATAGGTTCTAGTCAGGCTTCATTTTCACAGCAAAGTTCTATAAGAACATTTACTACAGATACTAGAAAACGAAGCTATTCTAGTATTTTTTCAGAGAAGGAATTAAAGAGAAAGATTATTAATTTTATGATTTCTAATAACCTTTCTATTAATTCTACTACAAGTAACGTGCATGTATAACGAAAGTGCCAAACAAGCGAAAGTGCCAAAATCATGCGGTGACCAACCCCCCCAACTAAATGTTAAATTCCTCCACAACAAAACATGCGCCATAAAAATGATGAAAGCAAATTAGTGCTAGCTATCCAAGCTATGCAAAGCGACCCAAATTTGCGCCTTCGAGTTGCAGCTAGGATCTATTCTGTAGACCACCGCAAGCTACGTCACCGTTTACAAGGTGTACCTTCACGACGCGATATCCAAGCCAACTTACGGAAATTAAGTAACCTAGAGGAATCAGTTCTTGTTCAGTATATACTTGACTTAGCTGCTAAAGGGTTCCCTCCTCAGTTGTCTATTGTTGAAGATATGGCAAATCGACTACTTGCAACATGCGTCGGGTCACGTTGGGCTTCAAACTTTGTTAAGCGCCATGTAGAGCTCCGGACACGCTTCCAGCGAAAATATGACTACCAGAGGGCTAAGTGCGAAGATCCAGAAGTCATTCGTGGCTGGTTTGAGCTTGTATGGAACACAATTCTAAAGTATGGCATCAACAATGCAGATATCTACAACTTTGATGAGACTGGGTTTATGATGGGCGTCATCTCAAGCGCAATGGTAGTAACGAGCTCAGATGGGCAGGCAAAGGCAAAAAAGGTGCAGCCTGGCAATCGGGAATGGGTTACAGTAATCCAAGGCGTTAGTTCTCAAGGTTGGACAGTGCCGCCATTTGTCATTGTGGCAGGTAAAAACCACCTTGCATCTTGGTATGAGAATAGCGGATTTCCAGCAGATTGGGTAATCGCTGTTACTGCAAATGGCTGGACTACAAACGAGAGAGGTATGGATTGGATTCAGCATTTTGAGAAGCACACAAAGCCCCGGAGTGTTGGTGGTTATCGCTTGTTAGTCCTTGATGGTCATGAGAGCCACCACTCAGACAAGTTTGAGGAGTACTGCAAAGAACACAACATTATTACGCTTTGTATGCCTGCTCACTCTTCCCATATACTCCAACCACTTGATGTTGGCTGTTTTGGCCCATTAAAGAGAGCTTACGGTCGGCAAATTGAAGATATGATGCGGGCTCATATTATTCACATTACTAAGGATGACTTCTTTCCTGCCTTCCACGCTGCATTTAACATTGCAATGACAGAAAGCAATATTCAGGGAGGGTTCCGAGGTGCTGGGCTTCTTCCATTTAGCCCTGAGAGTGTAATATCTACACTTGACCTTAGGTTTAAGACGCCAACACCTCCAACCTCTCGCCCAAACACCGCTCAACCATGGGTTTCTCAGACACCAAATAACCCAACTGAAGCTGTATCACAGTCTATTTTCATTAAAAACCGAATTGCGCATTATCAAAATAGCTCTCCAACCTCAATCTATGCAGCTGTTGACCAGTTTACAAAGGGTGCATCGCAAATAATGCATCAATTAGCATTGTTAAAAGCAGAGAACCAAAACCTGCGACAGGCAAATGAAGTGCTAAGCAAGCGCCGGAGAGCTAAAAAAACCATGACTACAGCAAGGAGGATCACTTAGTCAACAGGTAGCACAGGAGCTACAGGACGAGAGGGACGTTGTGCAGCAAGTAGAGCAAGAAATAAGGGCAAGTAGTGGTCGGAAGCCAAGGGAAGAAACCCATGCACGTCGCTGTGGCAAGTGTGGTGAGACTGGACACAATGCGCGCACTTGTCAGATTGTAATAGACAGGTCTGAGGAAGAGGACTCTGAGTAGTTTTAATTAATTTATATTGTTGTGGTGGATTTATCGCAATTCTTATGGGGTAGTCGCGATATTTTGGCACTTTCGCTTGTTTGGCACTTTCGTTATACATGCACGTTAACTACTTCTGAATTGAAGTAATATAGTAGCTACGTCGCAAAGATATTTTATAACGAAAGTGGTGGTCGAATAGGGGTAATTTGCAGTGGTGGCAGTCGCAAAAGGGTACATATAGGTACTTCAATTTACATATATATTTGTATGGCAATAGACGTACCGTGATGTATCTTTTTCCAGCCGCTAGTACCTCTCCCCCCACCTGCCCAGTTCCAAAGCACTTATAGGGGACTACAAAGGGAACGCCGTAGGGGGTATGGCCGGAATGGGAGAATTACATACAATTTACTAGTAATTTCCCTTGTCATGTCATAGGTGAACTCACGAAAATCATGAAGATCACAACTTTTCAAAGCCTCAATTCCAACTCATTTTAGAATTGCCTATTTAGGCCTTACAGTGGACTACAGTAAGCACTAAACAGGGTTACGTATGCTCTAATACTAATATATTCTAGGTCAGCTTGGCATGGCCTGATCAGGCGATGTAAGCCAGAGCCTGTCGGAGACTGCTAAAATGCTCTATTTAGTATAGGACATACTCAGTCTGCCCTTCCTAATTACCGCATCTAGTAATCAGGAAGGGTAGGAAAATAGGCGCTTACAGGGGGGCGGCAGGGGATGGGGCGGCTTGGCAATTACTGCTTCGGGTAATGGTCAAGCCGAAGGTACGACGGCTAAATCCTTCTATTTCGGGTACTGACTCCTACGCCATGGTGGGCCTATGAGAAATCGCCGAGCCGAGGCTATCCCGTTACCCCACGTTCAGTTCGCAACGACGACCCTCACATGTATGTGATAACTGCAAATAACTGCCTTGAAGTGTCCTTAGCTGCCCAGCAAACTAGCCAGACATTCTGTAAAGTTTAAATACTCGACAGAAGCTTTTATTTTGCCGGAGGTCGCCACCTGCCGCCTGTCAACTGCCATTGAGCTTCCTCGCCAATTTCTCAGAGCTCGAACTAAAATCCGTTCGCATATCTCGCCGTGAAACCCATTGATAGACACCGTACAGTTAAAATGGCTGGCCAATCGATACCGATCATTGTAGGGGTTGGCGATTTCAAGAACCCCTTCACGACACCAGAGAAGGCGCTGGAGCCATACCAGCTCATGATTCAAGCAATCCAGCGAGCCCTCCAAGACACAAATCTGCCAGAGGAAACCGCTCAGCAGCTCCAAAAATCAATCGACAGCATTGACGTTGTTGCAACCTGGTCGTGGCCCTACCAAGACCTTCCCGGCCTCCTCTCCACCAAGCTGGGCGTCGACGCCGCCCACAAGTTCATCAGCGACCATGGCGGCAACCAACCAGCGAAACTGGTCGACGAAGCGGCGCGAAGGATCGCGCAAAACAAGACAAAGGTCGCCGTAGTGACCGGCGGCGAGGCACTCGCATCATGTACACATACCTCGTCTGGCTGTTCATCCACCTTGCTAATAATGCGCAGTGGGAGGCTTCGCGGCTGCCAAAAAGATGCCCAAGTGGTCGGCACGCAAGAAGGACCAAAAATCAGGCACGATCACCGAAATCGCGACCCTGGGAGACAGTAAGTCCGTCTCTATGCTGCCCTCGGCGCGGAAGCTAAAGACGGCCACAGACACCGGCGCTACCCATGGCATTGGCCTACCCATCCAAGTGTACCCGTTGTATGAGAATGCGACGCGCGCGTCGCGCGGGCAGACGCTAGCGGAGAATAATGAGGAGTCAGCGAGCTTGTATGCGGATTTTGCAAAGGTGGCACAAGGGAATACGGCAGCGTGGAATTTTGGAAAGAAGGCCGCGACGAAGGAAGAGATTGGGACCGTGACGAAGAAGAATCGCATGATTTGCTATCCCTGTGAGTAGACTTGAAGGTTGACGTCTGAAGCATTGAGCTGACTTTGGTAGACCCGCTGCTGATGAACGCCTTCAACAACGTCAATTTGGCTGGGGCTGTTATACTGACATCTACGGACTATGCAACTGAGCTTGGGATCCCGAAGAGCCAATGGGTTTACCCATTAGGCGGTGCTGGCACCAAAGACAGCGACAAATGTATGTCCCCCAGTCCTGAGATAGACTAGACACAACTAACAAATCCAGTCTGGGAGCGCCCCAACTTCTACACCAGCCCCTCCATCACACGCTCTCTCGATGCGGGCCTCGAAGTCTGCGGCCTGACAAAAGAGCAAATCGGCATCTACGACTTCTACTCGTACATCCACCCCCCCTTTTCCCACCCCACCCAAAGCTAACCACCTACACAGCTGCTTCCCCATCGTCCCCAAGATCGCCTGTCAGCACCTCGGTCTCGCTATCGAATCGCACACCCGCCCCATAACCCTCATCGGAGGCCTCACCTCTTTCGGCGGCGCAGGAAACAACTACTCTATGCACGTACGTCTAAGAAACCCCTCCCCACCCACACACAGAATTAACTCCCCCAGGCTATCACAGAAATGACCCGCAACCTCCGCGAGCGCACACCAACATACGGCCTCGTCCTCGCCAACGGCGGCACAATGACATACCAACACGTGCTTCTCCTCTCGGCCGTCGCGCCCTCGCAGCCTTACCCACCCAAGAACCCACTCCCTCCCATCATCACCGATATCCCTGTCCCTGCTACTGTTGAGGTAGCGAATGGCGAGGCTACTATCGAGGTATGTGACCGCTTAATGTACTTAACTCACATGCTAACGAATGATCAAGACATATACCGTGGATTTCAACCGTGACGGCACACCCGGCACGGGTCACGTTGTCGGTAGACTACCGAGCGGAGAGCGCTTCCTGGCGAACCATGCGGATGAGGCTACGCTTGCACAGCTGGTTGGTAACGAGGAGCCTGTTGGACGGCGCGGGTGGGTGAGCAATGAGGACGGGATAAATTTGTTCAGTTTCGAAAAGAAGGCGAAGTTGTGATTAGCTTTACACCTACTGCTGCTGGGAGGGTTACTTTATATCCTGCATATTTGTCGATATATACCGCTGTAGCTCTTTAGTTTTTGGAACCGCACACAGCGAGATTGTCATGGACATCAGTTTAGTTTTGTCAAATATTTTATTGGTACTCTCCCTAGTTGACCAGAACAATCCCCGCCCAGTACCGACCATCACGTAGCATACATACTCCCGTGCATCCCATCATAATCTATACACCTTCATCCCATCCCATCCCATCCGAAATCAAACACCACCTACAACGCCGACCCCTTCACAAGCGCCTTCAGCCCCACAACGTCCCTCTTCAACCTTGCATTCTCCTTCCTCACCGCCGCAGCCTCCTCACTCGACTCCTTAACCTTCTTCAGGAGCTCCTCCCGCTCCTCTCTCCCTTTCCCCTTCAACGCCTTCACGATCCGGCCTAACTCTCCATTAAACCGCTCATACAGAATCTCATTCTCGGCACTAACCTCGCGATACAGCTGGTCTAGTCCCTTCGCATTCTCTTCCGATACAACAAGCCCACGATCCAGCTCTTTTTGCACAGCAGCGTTGCGCCCTTCGAGGTCCTTCATCAAGACTGGGATCCGACTCTCGAGCGCGCGCACGCTCTCTGAGATCCGCCGTAACTCCGACCCCGATGATGATGACGGGGTGCCACGCACAGGCGACCCGCTCAGCTTCGCCATCTCGGCCCCGATCTTCGCCAACTCAGATTGTAATCCTGCCTCTGCCTCGCCAATAGCCTTGGCTTCGCTCTGGAGCCGCTCGCGCAGTTTCTGCGCGCTCTGGAGACGAAGTTTCTGCGGCGACTTGGTCGGGCTGGGGATGTTGGTCGGGCCAGCATCTTTGCGGGGCTTGGTAGGCTCGCTAAATGCTGGGGTGCCGAAGACGGGCGCGGGAGCGAGAGCTAGAGATAGAGGACGAGGGCTGCCTTTGAGTGTGGGGATGTTGGATGCCAAATTTGCAGCTGACTTCGGGGGAGATTTCGAAGGCACGGACCAAAGATCTTTGATGGTTACAGTGTCGCCAGATTGGACATTGTGAGGACGCTCGGTAAGATTCCCGATGTTACGCGCTGGTGAGACTCTGGTATTTGCGTTCTCTTTCTGTTTGGGAGAACCGTTAAACGCGAGCGCGCGACTGGGGAGCTTGGTTGGTGACGGAGTTCTGGGGGAGACTGGTGCTGGTTGGGCCAGCTGGTTTGTCCTCCTGGATGACAATGGGTAGGACGGCGAGTCTAACGTCGCATTGGCCAGGAGAGCCTTCAGGTCGGACAACGAACTGCGCCTCTTCTTCTTCAGAGATTTATCCACGGCATCGGGTGCCGGTGGTGGAGATTGTCCAATAGTGCTCAGCCTACTCGGAGTATGAGAACTATTCGGGCGCTGGTCATCGAATGCGCCAAGCACAGTCGGTCTGTCACGCGAACCAGGTCGTTTTGGGGTTCCTAATCGCGAATCGGATTCGATTGATCGTGAGCGATGCAAACGGCCCTTGGAGATATTACCATCCATTTGCTCTCCTGTGGCTGTACTGCGAGCTGTCTTGCTCAATGTGCGCCACATGGAGGGCTTGCTATCATCTTCGCGCTTGCTATTTTGGCGCAGAAGTGAGTCGAGACCAAAGCGTTTCCTCAGGGATGTGTTAGATGTCACAGATCCTTGGGTTCGCGAAGTCATGGATCCGTCCATTGGAGTATTATAGCCATTGCTCGCACCGACACCGAGGTCCTCAAAAAGGCGATCCGCATCCTCCACTAACCGATCAAGTAGGTTAATATAGCTATGTGGATTATTGTCGGGAACCAGAAGCTCAGCAAAAGAAGCAGTAAGAGCACCTCGATCGCCATCATTTCCACAGCCTTCCAAGAGGTCAGCGAGGAGCTTGATAATAGCCACGAAAGCACGTCTATTTTGGGGCGCCATGTCCCCAAAGAGGAGCTTGATATAATCTGCAAAGTCGCCAGGAAATAGTTTCGAAGCCTTTTCTTGGAGGGCCTGCAGCGTCTGCACCGAAATAACAGGGCCCATCTGGTCCTTCCAAGCCATCCGCGTGAATTTTTCAAACGCAGAAAATAAGACGTCAATCGTTGCCTCAAAGGAAGCTCTCGCGTCAAATGGATTTTCGATGAACTTGTTATACAGAGCATTGACACTGAGCTCATCTGCTCCGGATCTATTTCGCAGGATCCTGCCGATGATATTGCCTTTTCGCGACTGCAATGCGATAATATACCCTGTAAACGTCTCTTCAAGTTTAACAAGAGGATTGGCAGTAGTTGACTCGTCAAAGCTAGCTTTGAAACTACTGTTGGTACTGGTGACACTGGAATCCATCTCTTTCTTGCTGCTCGACCTGGACAGCGATGGTGCCGTGAAGTTAGGAATACTACCCAGGGTAGGAGTGCGCTTGTGTTTTGGGGCGTCTGATAAGCTTGACCCGCCACCGGTCAAGAAGCTGGAAAGAATCTTGACTGGCGAGGGAGAACGGTAGTATTTCGCCTTGTCATTATCCACTTGCAGGCTGAGAGAATTGAGAATACTCGAATAGCACAGAATGAACGAAGTGGTCAACGCCGGGTTCTTGGGGCTATAATGAATCTGTAGTAAGGTTTCGACTATATATTATTAGCTCAGCGCATCAGAACTCAGCAGAAATAAATACCTCGTTTGGTGAAGACAGACATAAATGACGAGTCATTCGCAAGGTCGTTGAAATTCAGGTCATTCAAACCCTCAAATTTGAGATGATAAGGAGCACTGGTCTTTCCCTTAACGACTGTCACATTGACAACAGTTTCAACACCATAGTGGCCCACCGGTGCTCCCTTAGTTCCGCGCTCATGGTCAACAACGATACGAATAGGTGCAGGCTCCTTACGACCTTCAACCAGCGTATCGATGCCTTCTTCAAAGACAGCCGCATATATATTCAGTCCCGTCTCCTTCGAGTTGACATTACGCAGCGACCATTTATCTGATTCGCGCTCTTTTTCGGCAAACCTGCCTTCAACCCTCGCTTTGGTGAATTCGTCGGTCCATTTAGAGGCTTTGCCTTCATATGAACCCTGAAGAAGGAACGCCCTCCTCGTGGGCAGTGCGTTAGGCTGTTTGTCAAGGGTAGCAGATAATGTCATCCATGTGACCCGTCCATCCTGGCCCTCTGTAAAACGAACATCGCTAAAAGTGTGGTAGCTGACGAGATGAAGTTCTGGTGACGGGCGTGGCTCTCCCGCGCCCGTGGCAGAGGCAACCATACTAGCAGTAGGCGGCTTATCAACTTCAGCCATCACACCCCGGGCAGAGATATTGCTGCCACCAGCTTTCCGGCAGACTATAAGGGTGTCTGCAAAGAGTAGAAGAACACCAGGGGTATTTGTAAGTGTGTTTGCGATTGAAAGGTACGGAGGTGAGAGCTCGACAAAGTCCACCGCCGAAATGAGTCGGCCCTTGAAGACACAAGTTGGCCATTTATCTACCAGCAACTTAAGTCGCTTTACTGTCAGTGTGTTATCCGCATCGGGCGAATCCAGCGAGCAAATGGATGTGATAATATCTCTAGCCTTAAGCATAGACTGTAAGGCTGGGTGAGTAAGAGGGAGGTAATTGACAATATTGTCAATGAAAAGGCTGTATCGAGGGAGTCTCTGCACCGGTTCGATGATAGAAGACCGAAGCTTTTGCTCTCCCGTCTGCTGGACCCGTTGAGAGAAACTCGATTGCTGTCTCGCATAAGTGGAAATAAGCTGTGGGAATTCTTGGCTGGCGCGAATATAATCCTGGTAGCAGTCTGCAAATTGAGGGAACCACTCGAGCAGCACCTTTGCAAAACCAGTCGCTCCTGTTGGGTCCTTTGGACGTCCAGTCCCGCCATAGCGCGGCCTGGAGAATGTTGGCTGATCGTTCTCAAGATCTTGCATCGCTTCTTCTTCCGACTCGTCCATGCATTTTTGTATGGCAGCCAGGAACCCCTTATTAACTTGTAGAATCTTGTCCAGCGAAGGTGGAAAGAGCTTCTGTAGGTCTTTCTCGGTGGGGCTTGCGCTTCCAACAGCCTTCTTCCTTGCTTTGGCCCTGAATTCGTCGGCAATATTGTTGACCAGTTCATGCACCTTGATAACATATCGCTCTTCCGTGTCGACTAGTTCACCCATCTCGCGACGGAGTGACATTTTCTGGTTCTTGAGAAACGACTTTGAACGGTTCAGCGACGTAGGTTTCGACGGGGCCCGGCGAAGTTTTGAGGTTGGGATGAAAGCTGGTTCGCCAAACTGCCTGACGAGTGGCGCATACGGCCCATACTGAAGATGTGTAGAATCTCCAGCCTCATCGTCGACGTCTTCACCTTGAACTTCTGGCAAAGAGGTGATCGATCCCGGAGGTAGCACAACATCAACATCAATATGACTGAGAGCCTGCGACTGCATCCCAGCCTCCAGATCCGCAATAACCCCCGCCACATTATCCACCTTGACAAGGCTGCTCGCCAGATTCGCGGCATGCTGCCTCCCAAACAAGGTCGGCACGGAGCCCGGCCTTCTGCCCCGCGTGTTTGAAGACTGCACAATCAGCGCTGTCTTGACCGCCGGCGGCATCTCCTCAAAGTATTTCATCAGCCCGAACGCCAGGCCCCGACAGACCTCGTCGCCCTGCCATTCGCGCGGCAGCGCATTGACGACATCGTATAGGGGCGAGTTGGGCGAGACGGTGAGGCGCGGGTAACTGGTGAAGCCGGCAGCGCTGAGGACGTGGATCTGGATACGGGAGGAGCTGAGGGTGGCATTTGTGGTTGTGGAGGCACCGTGGAAGATGAGAAGGGGGAGGTTCGAGAGTAGGGGGTCGGTGGTGTGGTAGAGGCCGACGTCGTTGGCTGAGAGAGCCGTGAGACCGGAGGGTAGCCGGACCATTGTGTGGGCGTGTTCAGGTGTTTCGCGGGCTCATGCCTGTGCTGCCATGTGTGAGTCGATCTTGATCAATTGTATCTCTGTTGTTCGCGCTTCTAGGTTTGGGTATCTGCGAGGTCGCAAGATCGCTATGGGTAACTCGGTGTGGATTTTCGCGTTATAGTATCAGTCGAATTGTCAATCAAGGATGTGAGATCGCAAGATCGCTATGGGTAACTCGGTGTGGATTTTCGCGATCAGCAAGAAAAGCAAGCAAGAATCGGAAAAGCACCAGCGCTGTAATTGAAAGCCCCAGGGCGCAATAGCCAGAGAATAGAAGAGCCAGAGAAGTGTTGTCGGTGAAGTGGTGGTGGTATATGTTCACAGCGTTATAATAACACAGGACAAGCGCATTGGCGCACAACTGCCGCAGGTTCCCTCTCCCAGAAAGGCGCAACTTCAGATTTGGAGCGGTAAGGTGAATTTTCTCGTCCCTATTGTCGTCGCTGTCGCCGTCGTTCGTAAAACCCAAAGTAGAAATGTCTCTTCTCAATCTATCCATACCCTCTTTCCTACCTCAATGGGCGATCCTCGAAAAAAGCGGCGTCAGTCAGTCGGTGATGACGAAGAGCCTCGCCTTGTCTCCTTCCGTCCCAGCTGTACAAGGGTATTTTTAGGTTGTTTAGGTTGTTTGTTGTACGCAGGTCGTGGGGACGCGGCCGACGCGTTGATTGGTCGGCTTGTTGATCCGTGGGGGCTTCGACCCCGCCAAATCTCAGCCTTGTTGTATATCGCCGACATCAGTTGTTTTAACGCGAAACAATTCTCTTTTTGTAATTATACTGAATTATACTGTATTATAGAACGTTATATACCCGACAACCTTATCAATTCTTCATTTCTCAAGGGCTTTCTAGGATTCGCCATCTACGACCTCGCACAAACACCACCCTCGCCCATAATGTCTACCCAAGACTCAACCTCCATCCCCCTCTCAACCGCCCACGTCCATGCCCCCTACAAACTCCTCGAGCTACCCCCCGCCCTCCTCAGTCTCCTCGAGTCCGACTCCCCGCCAACCCTGCACCTCACTCCCGGAACCGGCACACCACACGCTCTTCTCTCCACCCCAACAGGGACCTACCGGCTGCAACAGAAGAACACCTCCAATCCGCTGATGCTACTACGACCATCCTTTTCAACAGAGGCGGGCACCGAGGGTGGTGAGGGGGGTGATGGCGGGGTAGGATGTGCATCAGTATGTGTGGTAGCCAGGATAGAGGATACCCTCGAACTCCTCCCGTACGATCCCGCTGCGGATGCGGCGCCAGTGAAGGCGAAAGCTGGGAAGTGGCATGAGAAGTTTGCGGCATCGAGGACGAAGAAGTGAAAGTTGGGATACGAGTAACGATTCGATGCGGATATCTATATCTGGTACCTGGCTCATATGTCGAGTAGGGCCCTGCCCGCTGTAGAAGCGGCTGAAAAGGCACAGTCAATGGCTCTTGGGGCGTTGGGCTCAGTTCCTGTGGTGATATGGGAGGGCTGGATGGCAGAGAGCGGTGCAAGACGTGGGACTGCCCTGCGCGATAGGAATAGGGATTGTCAACTGGTGATATATGCCGGGGTACCGATAAACTACGACCCATGCGCCAGCAACGGGCAGGCAAAGCGGAAGGGCATCTCAGATCATAAATCTGTATTTACAAGACGAAAATACCAACCAAGGCAAATTCAATACGTCAATTGACACACCATTCAAGCCCCCAACAATGTACGCGATCTAAACGTGAAATCTCATAGCCAGAAAACCGCCCACCAAGTCCTATAACCCAACCCGCAATCTAAAATCACTCTTGCCGCCGATGCAAAGAAAAGCCATCCGCTCAGCACCAAGCATACTTCTCGTTCGCGAGCCACTCAACCTCCTCTCCCTCCTTCCCATACCACATCACACTCGCAATCCCCTCCTTCTCGCGCTCCACCTTCGTCCCCCCAACCTTCTCAAGCGCACCACCAACAGTGGCACTCGGATTCCACACCTCCACCCTCCCGCACCCCCACTCCCTCGCCTCTCCCCTCGCAACACCAACAACATCCGCCAACTGCCTCACCAACACACCCTCATCCGCCTTCCCACCTTTCATCTCCTCCTCGACAACAAGACGCAGGATATAAAGCGTATTCTTCTTCGTCTCGCCCTTCTTCCCATAGAACCCCCTCGTCCACACCGCCCACACCCTACTCCCGACATCCCCAACCAAAGCCCCGCGGATCTCAGGCACACGCCCAAACAGCGCCTGTGTCACAAACTCCTCTCTCGCGCGATGCCAGGCGAAATGCTCCGCGTCCGGGGGTATCGCAACTCTCGTCTTCCCATCCCCCCTCGGCCTCTCCATCAGCGCCCTCAACATCCCCTCATCCGCCTCACACAACGCCTCCAAATCCGCCGTCCCCAGCCTCTTCACTCCCTTCCCTGCACCCTCTTCCCCATCAGCGGCGGGAAACTCCACATGCCCACTAGGAAACGGCATCCACCCATGCCTCCCATAAAACCCCCTCCCAATATCCGAATACAGCTTCGAAAACACCACCTCCTTTTTATCTTTACTCTCCTCAGCCTGCCACCCCTTCAACACCTCCCCCAACTCCGTCATCATCCGCGACGCATACCCATGTCCCCTATACTCCGGGTAGCAGAAGACACTCCCAATCCCATGACTCACCGCCTCCCTCACCTCCCCCCCCGGCCCCGCCACAAGGGTGCGCTTCCGCAGACTCTCTGCCGTGGCGAGCACAGGGCGAGAATCGGTGGGTAGGGAAGAGTCGACGAGGATCCAGTGCGTTATTCCCCCGGAGGAGGCGAGGGTGGAGGCAGAGCAGAGGTGGGATTCTCGCTCGATGTAGAGGGGGGTGGGGAGCGCGGCGCCCCAGTCGGTGGAGGATTTGAGCCAGGTGTGGCGGCGCTCAGTGGGGGTGGGGTGGGTGAGCGTGAGGGAGGGGAGGTGGCGGGGGGAAGGGGGTGGTGGTTGTGCCGTTTGAGGGGGTTTCTTTGGTGGTTGTGGTGGTGGTTGTGCCGTCGGAGGTGGGCGTGGTGGTGGTGGTGGTGGTGGCTCCGTTGGTGGTGGCTGGTGGTGGTGCCTTGACGTTGTTGATGGCGTTCGTCATGTCGTCCGCGTGAGGATGCATGTAAATGTTTTTGCCGATCAGTAATCGAACTGAGAATGTAGAAAATTTATCTTCGCCTTCGTCTGAGCAGTAATAAAGCCGAGACGGATCTTTCTCTCTTCAAACAATGCAGATATTTCCGTTCAGTCGGAGTCCGTGGTTTATCTTCCGTTGAGTCAGCCCCATGCATAAGCGGTCTAAATGCCAATAAAAAAGATTCTTACTATGAAACCCTATTAAGCAAGCTTTCCACGATGACTCTTCCCGTCCAACCGTGGGGCCCTCCCGAGTATATATAACCCCCTCCCCTCCATCACACCGGCGATTACACCCCCCATCACCCGCCCCCCAATTGACCAACCCCCCTCCTCCCGCCCTCCCGCCTTCCCCAAACAGCCACAAAGACCCAGTCCTCGCCGCCCGCCATGGCATCACCGGAACACACTAGCGTTCGCCGAATCTCCCTACCGACGAACCACACACGAGCGACGGGAGAACCAGTGTTTGGGACGTGGTTGTCAGCCTTGCCAGCCTTGCCAGCCTTGCCTTGGAGCCGAAGTCAAGCGATGGAAGGCGCCGGATGCGGAATAGGCGCGGGGGGGTGGTGATTGGTTGGGAAGGTAAGCAGAGGGGGGTAATAGTGGGGGGGGCGATTTATATGACACATGGGTGACATAAGGTGGGCTGGGATGTGGAAGGTTCGGATGTAGTTGCTTGTTTGGGCTTGGTCGGATGACCGGGGGGGGATGGGCCAGACGACTATAAATGCTTTGCATTTCACGTGATCTGTCCAGTATCAAGGTCTATAAGTACGCACTACGGACTACGCACTAGTTGAAAAGTTTAGTGTACGGAGTATTTTGGTAGAATTAATTTAGTCTAATAAACCACGTGATATTCCACGTGGACATGTAATGGTAAAAAGAGATATCATACTCCAGTACTGTGTCACCTAGCTCTGTACTACTCGAGCAAATCAAATATACCGAGTACTGACTATGAGTACTGACTATGAGATGTGTAATCTCTTACATCACGTGAGGCCAAAAGGCCAAAGCTTCCTCATTAAGTAAGGCGGTACATCACGTGAGGCCACGTGAGGCCAGTGTTTCCTCATCAAGTAAGGCGGCCTCTCAAGGGACCAACCCAGGCCCAATCAAGCCTTAGCTCCCGTATCTGTCAAGTGACCGTCAACTACAAATACCTTCGAGGCCCAACTAGGCAATTACAAGTCAAAATCACCATATCAGGCCAAATTCCACGTACCACCTTTGACCTTTGAACATTCCACTACCCGAGATCTCGCCTTACTTTATCCAACATCATCCAAACCCCTTACTGAGGGTAGTTTCACCCACTCCATGACCTTCATTGTGACCTTTCCGTGCCCGTGAGAAATGAGACATCCCCGAGCCGCAGAGGTCCACTGCAAGCCCACCATCCCCGTGTAATGGAGACGCCTGCGCACCTGCCCTCGAGGCCCAGAGAGTTCATTGACCTCAGCTCTGATGACGAGGAAGAGGAAGATGCTGTCCTGGAACCACCGGAGCCAGACCCAGGCCACTTCCTAGAGTTCAATGACCTCAACGACCTCATCTTCGGCAATCTGGTGCGGGAGAACCAGGCCGCCTGGGATGCAGCCGCCTTTGAGGCTCAAGGCTTCCAGGTTCCCATCCTCGGCGACTGGCGAAATGAACCTCCCGAGCCAGTCGCTGAGGCCATTAATCCGCCCGCTGTTGCGCCAGGCTTGCCCCAGATGCTTCGCCAGGCTGAAAGGCTCCACCTGAACCATCGACCAGTGAATCCAGTGAACAAACAGCCGGACAGTGAACTGTTGGACAATGACAACGACCTCATCCAAGAACAAGTGAACAACCAACTGGACAACGAACAGCCGGACAATGAAAGTGATCTCATTCTATCTGATCTGAACAGGCAGTTCCCTAACGTGCAGATGGAAGACCACGACAACTTTGTTTGGGGGAAAGTGAACCGTGACCTTCATAGCGCGAACAATACCATCGATCTTGACCCTCCACCAACTGAAGAGATGGCCAACAAAGCCCGTTGCCTCGAAGGTGTCGTCGACATATTTCCAGACATCTGCCTTGAATATGTCGAGCAACTATACATTGCACTTCAAGGCAGGAAGACATCCCTTGCCATCGTGGAGCTTGTCTTGGAAGGAGAAGAAAATGGACAGCCGTATCCCAAGATCAACCAGCTGAAGAGGAAGCGACCAGTCGAAAGCGACGACGACGACGAGATCATGCGGAAGTATACTGCAGATCGACAGCACAACTCGGATAAGTATCTGACTATGGCGTAAGATATCCCTGAAATATCAGTTGGCTCTTCTCTCACATTTCACCTTGCTGATCAACGTGTAGGCGTGGGATGCTCTCAGAGGACTTCCCAAGCATCCCAATGAGCTTTATCATGAAACATTTTTATGACTCGGGTATGGTGATTTACACTACGTATCAGAGCCTCGCCGAGGATGAGCGTGCCTGGGACCCCAGTAACCCCAGCTACCACAAATTAAAGCAGGCCCGTAGGGTCAAAAGCTTTCATCCGAGTACCGTCGAGGAGAAACTCACCAATCCAGAAACACCACCAGATCAGAAACGCGCTTACGCAGAGCTCAAGGATGTCAGAATTGGACGTGCAAATTGGGAGGGGAAATTAGCAGCCAAAAGGAAGCGTGAAGCCGATGCTGCTGCAGCCAAGAAGAAATATGAGGCGGATGAGGCTCTCAACTTGGAGCTTGCAATGAAAGAAGGAACCATGGAGGATTGTGGATGCTGCTTTGATGACTATCCCCGCAACCGCATGGTCCACTGCAACAACGAGAGCGTATCGCACTACTTCTGCAAGCGCTGTGCCCGCCTTCATGCCGAAACCCAGATCGGTAGCGGCAAATATGAGCTCCAGTGTATGTCGACTGACGTCTGCGAGGCTGATTACTCAAATTCCCAGCGCCAGCTCTTTCTCGATGCCAACCTCACCACGGCTCTCGACCGCATAGAAGCCGAGACAAATCTGCGCCTCGCCGGTATCGAGAACCTGGCCAGCTGCCCCTTCTGCCCCTATTCTGCAGAATACCCTCCCATCGAGCACGAACGACTCTTCCACTGTGAATTCGATTCCTGCAAAAAGATCTCCTGTCGCACGTGCCTGAAGGAATCACACATCCCTAAGACGTGTCAGGAGAACGCAAAGGACATTGGTCTCGATGTGCGCCGTGAAGTTGAGGAGGCCATGACAGCTGCCCTAGTTCGTACGTGCAACAAGTGCAAGGGGCCATTCATCAAGGAGGATGGCTGTAACAAGATGAACTGCCCATGTGGCAATATCCAGTGCTATGTCTGCTCCAAGAGCTGTCAGTACAACCACTTCGATGACGAGCGTAGGGGTGGAAAATCAGGGAACTGCCCTCTTTTCGACGATGTCCAGGTGCGCCACGAAGATGAGACGAAGCGCGCTGAAGAGATTATCGTCGAGAAGCTTAAGAAGGAGCACCCAGATGTCGATCCAGAGGACTTGGAGATCAGGGTCTCGGATGCGGTGAAGGCGGACGAGGAGAGGAGAAAGAAGAAGCGCTGGCACCCACATGAACCGTTTAGGTTTGCTATAGAAGGTGGGATGGGAAGGCCGCAAGTTCCGCCGCCACCACCCCTGGCACGTGCTGGCAATCCGGAGCGACAGGTCTATCGGGAGGAGTTTGAGGCGCATATGGCACAATATCATGCGGATATAGAGAATATGGTGAATCAGGCGCAAAACCCCGGTCAGCAGCCGAATTTGCAAGGTTAGTTAGATTCGTTTCCGTTTTCCGTTGGTCTCTTTGAGGAGGGTCTTTGTTCGATATATACTTCAACACGTACCTATACCTCTATTCCTGGCCCCCTCTGAAAGTGACGGTAACCAAAATTGCTCATTTACCTCTCCCAACCTCCCACCGCCCGCCCTCTTCCCCCAACCAACCCTCACAAACCCCCCAAAAACAAGCTAACACAACCCCTAGACGCTGCTGCCGCCCCCGCAAACCCTCCCGCCGCCGCCGGAGTCCCAGACAACCACAACCACATCCGCATCCCCAACCGCCACCGCCATCGCAACCCCGCCCACCACGCCCTCTACGAAGCGGCCCACGCCCGCGTCCTCGCTAACCGCCAAGCACAGGTCGATGCCCTCGTTGCTGCGGAGGGGGGGAATAGAGAACTCCGCGACCGGCTTGCGGCGGGGCGCAAGGAGGCGAGGAGGGGGCTGAGAGAGTTGGTGAGGGAGAGGATCGCTGCTGCTAAGGCGGTGAATGCGGCACGCGCGGGTGCTGATGCGCCGAGGAGGGGAGAGGATGGAGATGCGGAGGTGGTTTATAGACCTGGAGATAAGGTGGTGGCGAGACGGAGGGTGCAGGAGTGGGTGTTTGAGCCGTTTGGACCTCCACCTGCCCCTGCAGCTGACGGTGCGGGTGGTCAAGAAGCTCACAATGCCGGTAATGCTGGTGCTATGGCAGAGGATAATCCTATAGCCGAGGCCTACGCTGCAATCGGCAGGCCGAGGAGGGCTCCATCCGTTTACAACGGAGAAGAAGCTGGTAATGCTGGTAACGCCGGTGCCATGGCAGAAGATGATTTTATAGCTGCGGCCTACGCTGAAATTGGCAAGGCGGGTAGGCCAGCTGTTTACAACAGAGAGGACTTCCAACTCTTTCCCCGCCAGCACTTCCCCCTCCCACGGCACCCGCCTCGTCCCGCGCAGCAGCCACAACTGCCGCAGCAGCACCTGCAGCCTCCAGTGGATCTCGAAGAATTCATGATGCGGCCGCTGATGGATGGGTATGTGGAGCCGAACGAGCAGAACCGACTGCCGCTGCCGCAGGGCGCCGTGATGAAGGCGGCGGTGGATCCGCTCCCGTTTATGCGTGAGGATTATGTGCCCCTGTATCCGAAGGCTAGGGGGCCGAGGGCTGGTGATGAGGGGCGCGGGAGGAGGTTGGCGAGGGTTTTGGGGTGGGATGGAGTGGGTGGTGGGGCGCTGCGGGGGGATAGGCAGGAGGGTGGGGGTGGGGGGAGGAGGGAGGGAGAGCGTGGGTTGGACTTTTTGATGAGGTTGAGGAGGGGGAGGTCGAGGGGTGAGAAGAAGGATGGGGGTGGGGAGAAGGATACGGGTGGGGAGAAAAAATAATGCGTGGGTAGTTGTTGAGTTGTTTGATTTTTGTGGATGGGGGGCGATGGTATACGGAGAGAGATCAGGGTTTGGGACTGGGGATATGCGCTACTACTACACGAGAGATATCGCTTTGAAATTGCTACAACAGATGAATGGGGAAAGCCTAAATTACATTGCATGACTGACTGCGGTTTGGGGCAATGTTCTAGCAGGCGTTGATTATAGGGTGTGCTCGCTGGCATTGAGAGAGTCGCTTCGAAATTGTTTTGTTACAGAGTATGAGTGGGCGATGCTAGGGGATGTTTGTCAAGGTTGTTGGTTGCTATGGGCTTTTAGATGTTGTGTATGTAGATAGATGCGGGAGTTATAGGGGTTGAGAGGGATAAGAAGAATTGAGATAATTATTGTAAGTCTTTATGGTGATAGATTGAGTAATGTGGGATTCGTGATGTTTAGGAGTATGGTTGATTGGTATTATAATTAACGGTAACGTGGTGCATCAGGTCGCAACGCATATCAGCTCGCGATGCACTTGAGTAGTCGGTTGACCCAGGAAAACCTCGGTTAACAAAAAATCGCTCAGTTGACCCTCAACCCAACTAACCCATTAAAAACAACGTAGCAATTTGCACGTATGTGCCTTGTGCATCAAGCTTCGTTCGAAATTGTAGTGGTAGTAGTCTAATGTATTAGTAACGTATTTGACAAGCGAGTCGCCATCCCAAGCGAGTCGCCATCCCAAGCGAGTCGCTAGCAAAAACATCAAAATTTAACTATCATCACTACTACTACAGGGTCTCACTTGCTACCTCTGTATAGACTTAAGCATCAACCTTAGCACTCTAAAGGATATCCTCTCCCTCTCGTATAGAGAGACTACCCCCTTGCATTATACGCCTCTTACGCTTCCTTTCCCTTCTCTTTTTCTGTTCATTTGCTACTTGTAGAGCCTTAACTTCTGCCTTAAGTAGAACAGCAGAATGCATTATCATTTCCCCTTTAACAGGCAGCTAACAGCGTCATTAATTGAGCTAGGAGAGCTGTTCTAATGTCGTACAATGGGTTCTTAATGTGCTCTGTTTGAAAGTTAAGCTCCCTTATAGTTTAAGGCGCATCTGTGTAATGGTGGGTGCACCAGATATGAGAATCTAGCCACCCAAGGAAGGGATGAATTTACTAAGACAACACACTGTCTTAGGAAACAGAGCCAAAGGGTTGTAGCTTAGACTATTCCACAACGCAGCAATCAGGTGTATGATGTGGTGAAGTGGTTTAGACAAGTTGCAACAAATGTTGAGTCTGAGAACTCAGGGGTAAGTCAGAGGTTAGCACCTCACTGACTTTTCAAAAACAGAGAATAACAAGATCAATGCTTGGAAGCTTGGAAAAGACGTAGAAGTATGTGCTAGTCGATTTACTGTATTGCCTGCTTGCCCTTTCTTAAGGAAAGGGCAATCCTATTTATGCCAAAGGAGTGTAGTTCTCTCATTTTCCATGACTTTCCATGACTAACCAGGCTTGGTAAATGTATTAGAAATCAAGTGCGACCCACAACTAGCTTGCTAATCATGTAGTGAACGTAAGAGAATCCCATAGAACCATCTCTTGGGTTTGTAGCCTATAGGAAGTGAAAAGGAGGTCCAAGGTCAGAGTACCTATAGACAAATTATGTCATAACTTAACCAATCTTGTGGGTAACTAAGGAGCGATGACGTGTAATGAATCATAGAGGGTTGTAGAAGCTTCTAGAGCTATCGTTCATGTTCCTAGGCCTCTAGTTGGTAGATATATGCCATGTGGTAGTATTGGCCCACCCCCTTAAGGAGGAGATTTTCTTAATAACTTGTTCAATGAGTGTTCAAATGATATGCCGTGATGTATGTAGCATAAACAGATGTAGTAGAAGAGTTTGCAGCAATCGTTGAGTAGTATTGCTTCTGTTGTTGGTGTGATAAGCCAAGATATGTATGGTGACTTGTAGGTTTGAGGAGGAGATTTCTAAGTTTGCTCTTGAGTTTGATAGCAAACTGAGTGCAACGAATGTCAGTATGACAATCTGTACCCCTTGCAAAACTTGTATCAACTTAGACAGACGCTCGCCAAGTACTGGTCGGAAGCCAAATAATAAAGATTGTATAGGAATAGCTCGAGTGAAACAAGCGCAGGAAAGCTACATCCGTGAAGCCAGGGGAGCCATTTGTATAGACCAGGATATTCTCGACGCGGCTCGCACTGATACCCTTGTAGCCAAGTTACCCTTGTAGCTAACTTACCCTTGTAAGTTACCCTAGCAAGCAGAAGTTATCACTCGGCTAGTTTCTGCATCAGTACATAGCTAGAATGTAATCGACTGTCCCCCATCACCACTATGTTTTTTCTTATCCATAAGATTGTGTACTGCACAATACACCATCTTTTCTTGCTGCACAAGTAGTCTGCTGTAACGCTGACTTCTAAACGATAGAAGACACAGAGGTTCTCTTGCGTAAAGGTTTACTTATCAGAGGAGGCAGGGGATCGGACACAAAGGCTTCAAGTAACACGTTACTAGTATATAACAAATACTGTATTGAGTTGAGCACGAAGCTCCTATCTAAGAACTAACTATCTACTTATATAGTGGCGTCGTGCCTAGTGGACTCCTGGGAACTCACTCGAGTCCTCGGAGTCCTGGACTCTTAGGATTCTTCTCATCATCCTGCGAGTCCGTCACGTGCCTAGTGGACTCCTGGGAACTCACTCGAGTCCTCGGAGTCCTGGACTCTTAGGACTCTTCTCATCATCCTGCGAGTCCGTCACGTGATACTTTCGGAACTACTATTCCCCGCTGCCCCTCCAGGTACCAGGGCCGGTCTCATGCGACCTCCCTCCTTCCTGTCCTGTAGTTGGCCAGCCTTCTTGTTCTGTCGTAACACTCGCTCCCTTCCCCTGGGCATTCGTCTCGAATCCTATAAGTACGTCCATGTCCCCGGGACTCTGCTGCTCCTCAGCGAGTCCTTCAACATGCAACATGCCTACTGACACTGCCTGCAAACTCCAGGAATGCAACGATCTTGTCCGTCGAATAAAGAACCACGGATACCCGAAATGGATTCTTGCTCGAACTGCGTGAGGCGAAACGTTACTTGCGTGTCATCTCCAAATGATTCACGGCGGTGCGCCGAGTGCGTTCGTCGCAACTTGAAAGAAAAGTGTGACTGTATGGGTCCTGAGCATCCCGACTGGGTGAAGCTCGAACGGGAGGAGGATCGCCTGGATCGCGAAGAGGAAGAAACCCTTTCGAAGTTACTTCGTCTGCGGAAGCAGAAACGCCTCATCCGAACCCGTGGTAAAGATATGCTCCGGCGAGGTTTGAAAACCCTCGACGAGCTTGATGCGGCAGAGGAGGCTGAACGTGTGGCTGCTGAGAAGCGTGACGCTGTTGAGGCCGAGGAACAGGTAGTTAGCGCTGCCTCCTCGTCTGTAACCGGGACCCCCGCTTCCTCCGATCCACTGGCCTACTCCCCTGCATCTTGGGATCAATGGCTGGCGGATGGCAGTGTCGATATTCCTCCAGCAGTTCTTTGCTGATGTTCCTTGTTGGTTCCCACGAATTATCCGTAGGTTCGTAATTTTCCCATTTTATCAAAAACTCTTCTCGACGTCCTACTAACCTTCTGTCTAGGATCGCTTCGACCTCATATTCGATTATCTCATTCTCGGGTTGGAGTTCGGTGTCGGTCGCAATTGGGGTATTTCCTCTTGCTGGTTCCAGTAGTGAGACATGAAATACCGGGTGTAGTCTAGACTTCTTGGGTAGCTGCAGTCTGTAATTAACTGAGCTGACTTTGTTCAATATTTTGAATGGTCCCAATTTCTTGAAGTCCAACTTTGTGCTTGGTCGTTTCGTTTTGATATGTTTCCGGAGTAGGTATACTTTATCCCCCTCCTTGAAGGCAGGTTCCATACTGCGCTTCTTGTTTGCGTATGCGGCGGATCGTTCATTTAAGAATTGGATGTCCGTCGCAAGTTGTTCGTGGAACAATCTCAGTTGTTCCACCACGATCAGGGCTTGTTCAGCTCGTAATTCATCCGGTCTTGGTTGCCTATATGCTTCTGGCCGGTAGCCATAATTGGCAAAGAACGGTGAGACTTTCGTTGCTTCTGTCATCGCGCTGTTATATGCAAACTGTGCGATGGGTAAGATCTGAACCCAGTTATCCTGTTGATGATTGACATAGCTTCGCAGGTACTGTTCAAGGGTCTGATTTAATCTTTCTGTTTGGCCATCTGTCTGGGGATGAAAAGCTGTTGATAGCTTATGATTTGTTCCCAGTAGCGCCATCAATGATTTCCAGAATTTCGAAGTAAAGAGCTTGTCTCTATCTGAGATGATTTCTTCTGGCATCCCATGATCGGCTAATATGACTCGAATGAAGGTATATGCGAGCGCCTCGGCGTCGCTAGCTTCTAGATATGGTATAAACTTCCCATATTTCGTGAGTCTTTCCGTGATGACGAGGATAGAGTCGTATTCTATTCCTGTTAACGGGTCCTTGGAGGATGGAAGCTTGACGACGAAGTCCAAAGCTATTGATTTCCACGCTCCTTTTGGTACTGGTGTCGACTTGAGTTGTCCGTATGGCAGATGCCTATTGGATTTTGACTTGCTGCAAATGTCGCACTCTCTTACCACTGTCTCTACCTGCTTCCTCATACCTGGGAAGTAGTAGTGTCGGGTGATTCGTTCGAAGGTTCGTGTTACTCCCTGATGACCATGTGCTGGTAACGAGTGTTGTTCTTGCACCAGCGGGCGTCTCATTTGACTTGGGACATATACTAACCCTTTGTATCGAATCAATCCTTGTTCGTCGATGGCGAAGTCGCCTTCGACTTTGGACAAGACTCGCTTGGCGCATTCGTCTGTTGCGTAAGCTTTCTTGAGTCTTTCCTCGAGTTCTGTATCTTCGATGACTGAGATCGTCGCTAGTAACTCGTTGTACTGTATTCCTGCATCTATTTTCTTCAGAATTGCTCTAGGTCTTTCTTCCTTTGGGCCGGCGTAGTCGGTCCGTCTGCTGAGAGCGTCTGCTCTTGCATTCTCGGAGCCCTTGCGATAGGTTATCGTGAAGTTGTAGGCTGCGAGGATTTCTGCCCAGCGGACTTGTCTGCGGTTTAAAACCTTGGTCGTGGTGAAGTATATGAGGTTCTTGTGATCCGTCCATACCTGCACAGGGTAGGTGGATCCCTCAAGATATACTCGCCACTGCTCAAAGGCAACGACAATAGCCAGTAGCTCCTTGTCGTGAATGTCGTAATTGAGTTCCGCGGGTGACAGTTTCCTAGAGTAGTATGCGATTGGTTTGAACTTACCGTTCTCGTCTGGTTGATTCAGACATGCTCCAATTGCGAAGTCAGAAGAGTCCGTTTCGAGGATGATCTTCTTTGCAGGGTCAAATGTAGCAAGGATAGGTGCTTCCGTGAACTTCGTCTTAAGTTCCTGGAAAGCAGCCTCTGCCTTGTCCGTCCATTTAAATTCGAGATCCTTTCTGGTAAGCTCCGTGAGTGGTTGAGCTACCTTGGAATATCCCGAGATGAATCTTCGGTAGAAGTTGGCGAAGCCTAGGAAGGCTTGCACTTCCTTGACCGTTGTCATACTGACATTCGTTGCACTCAGTTTGCTATCAAACTCAAGAGCAAACTTAGAAATCTCCTCCTCAAACCTACAAGTCACCATACATATCTTGGCTTATCACACCAACAACAGAAGCAATACTACTCAACGATTGCTGCAAACTCTTCTACTACATCTGTTTATGCTACATACATCACGGCATATCATTTGAACACTCATTGAACAAGTTATTAAGAAAATCTCCTCCTTAAGGGGGTGGGCCAATACTACCACATGGCATATATCTACCAACTAGAGGCCTAGGAACATGAACGATAGCTCTAGAAGCTTCTACAACCCTCTATGATTCATTACACGTCATCGCTCCTTAGTTACCCACAAGATTGGTTAAGTTATGACATAATTTGTCTATAGGTACTCTGACCTTGGACCTCCTTTTCACTTCCTATAGGCTAGGAACCCAAGAGATGGTTCTATGGGATTCTCTTACGTTCACTACATGATTAGCAAGCTAGTTGTGGGTCGCACTTGATTTCTAATACATTTACCAAGCCTGGTTAGTCATGGAAAGTCATGGAAAATGAGAGAACTACACTCCTTTGGCATAAATAGGATTGCCCTTTCCTTAAGAAAGGGCAAGCAGGCAATACAGTAAATCGACTAGCACATACTTCTACGTCTTTTCCAAGCTTCCAAGCATTGATCTTGTTATTCTCTGTTTTTGAAAAGTCAGTGAGGTGCTAACCTCTGACTTACCCCTGAGTTCCCAGACTCAACATTTGTTGCAACTTGTCTAACCCACTTCACCACATCATACACCTGATTGCTGCGTTGTGGAATAGTCTAAGCTACAACCCTTTGGCTCTGTTTCCTAAGACAGTGTGTTGTCTTAGTAAATTCATCCCTTCCTTGGGTGGCTAGATTCTCATATCTGGTGCACCCACCATTACAACCGTGGTCGGTGTTGGCCATTCCAACACTGCCGTTACTTTTGCTTGGTCCATCTTGATGCCGTGCGTTCCAATAATGTAACCCAAGAATTCGACTTGGTTTTTATGGAACTCGCACTTCTCTGGTTTGAGGAGTAAGCTGTACTCCTTTAGTTTCTTCAGGACGAGTTTGACATGCTTGACATGCTCCTCCTTGGTTGCTAAATACACCAGGACATCGTCTAGGTAGACAATGGTAAAGATGTCTAAGTATTCGTGCAAAGCATCATTCATCAGTCATTGCATGGATGCGGGTGCGTTTGTTAGCCCAAAGGGCATGACTTGATACTCGAATAGGCCATAGCGGGTGCGGAATGCTGTTTTCCACTCTTCCCCAGCCTTGATTCGGATCAGGTTGTATGCTCCTCACAGATCTAGCTTACTGAAGATCTTTGCTCCTTGAAATCTATCGTGTAGTTCGTTGATTAACGGCAGGGCATACCTGTCCTTGATTGTGATGTTGTTCAACGCTCGATAGTCCACACATAACCGTAGGGAGCCGTCTTTCTTTGGTACGAAAAGCACCGGACTTCCTGCTGGTGATGTGGATGGTCTGATGAATCCTTTCGCTAGGTTATCATCGATCTACTCCTTAAGTACCTTCAGCTCCTTTTCCGATAGCTGATATATTGGTCCGAACGGTGGACTCTTGTCTTTCTCCAAAGGTATCTCGTGATCCCATGGTTGGTGCTTAGGAAGCGCCTCGTTCTTAGGGCCTTCCTGGAATAATTGCTCATATTCCTTGTACTCCACCGGTATACTCGTCGGTGAGGATGCCTGGGCTAGGTCATCGAGCTCGGAGGTTGCACATAACTCCTTCCGGCCCTGGGAGGGTTTCTCCCATTGTCGCGTGTCCGTCCGTTGTTCACACGCGCACTGGCTCATCACAACTTTCTCGTTCCACCAGTCGATCTGGGGGTTGTGTTTCTTGAGCCATGGCACACCAAGGATGCACGCATGGTTGTCCATGTGCACGATGTCAAACTGAATCATTTCCTTGTGCCCGTGTAGCATGACCATTTCCAATGGGACCGTTTCGTGGGTCACCATTCCTTCATTAGTCGAGATGGGCTCTCCATCTACGACCATTAACGGGTATGGTTCGGTTTTCAATTGCGTCTTGAAACCTTGCGTGTCTGCTACTTTCTTTGTCATAAAGTTGCCCGTCGCTCCTGAGTCAATCATTGCTCGGAGGTGTCGCTGTTGTATCTTAGCGACCACATATAGTTGCATGCTGCCCGTCGTGGCGCATAGCTGGTCTGTACTAGGCCTCTTCGTGTCGCTCGCCGGTGGCCTACCGTCGAGGACTCCTAGTTTTTTGACTCGTCCGAGGAAGGATAGTATTCATCCGGTTCCAATGGTGGTCCTTGGGGAGATCGTTTCCCTCGCTCTTCTGCTTCGTCTAGCAGATGTGGGTATTTCTCGTATACCTGTTCGCTTTTGATAGGCAAGTCCCCTTCAGACTGGCTTCGCCTGAGGGCGTGAACTTGCTCTGCGTCTCTGAAGTGTATCCTGGGCGAGGATCGGGGAAACAACTGATTCTGGTGTTTCTTTTTCCAGTGGAGCTTGCAGTCATCTTCGCTGCAATACTCCCAGTAGACATACGCGTGCCAGGGATGATCAGTCTCTGTTGCGTCTGTCGTTGATAGTTCCCGCTGTCCTCTCACCCATGCACTATCTTCCCTCGGAGGTGTGGAGAACGTGTCTAGTTGCTCCATGGCTCTCCTTTCGATGCGTGGAGTGGGTCTCGCATTTTCCCGTCGCAGCATACCTCTGGCTTTCTCGTCGTACTTCTCCAGGGCTCTCCTGCGGTCCTGGTAGTAAAGTTCGACGCTTTTCATATACTTCAGTTTAGCCATATGCTCGACATCCTTCTCCAGTTCTTCCGCTTCTTGGGCTTCCAACTTAGCTACGTCTGGGGACGTGCCAAGCAGCCTGCGGGTATTCGTTAGTTGGTCGTAGTATCTCCAGAGGTCATCCTTGCAGTCGTCCACCTTGCACTCTAACGGAAGTCCCTGTAACAGGTTCCCGTAGATGCCCTTAAGCGTGGGGATTCTCCTCTGGCCGCTGGGCTTGTCTCGTTCGGCCCTAATCTTTGCGTGGGCGTGTTTTGCCATGCGTCTTACTATGCTCTTGCACCGTGGACTCATTGGTTCCGTAGGTGCGAGTTCATCGAAGGTCTCCTGTTCCGAGATGGTGAACGATTCTGCCTCCGACCCTTCATCTGAGCTCTCGTCTTCTGGGGTGCTTTCGCCGTTTATTCCCCAGTCCTGTTTGCTCACAAACGTTGCGTTCAACTGTCCTGTCCAGGTGGCATTGAGTTGTTTGCCGACTTTGCGTCCGCCGTTCCCTTTCTTTGGCTGTCTGCAGTCTCGGGCCATGTGGCCTGGCTTGTCGCAGTTAAAACAGAGTCGTTCCTTGAATTGTCTGTCTTTCTTAGGGTCACGGGGTCGTCCAGGTTTGAACGTGGCATCGAGTTCCATTGGGTCCGACCAACGGTTGTCTCGCGGGTGTTGATCCCGTCGTCTGCCCTCGTTTCCCCGGTAGGGGTAACTTTTCTTGGGCTTGTCATAGGTCCGACGTTCCTTCTGGAATTCGTATAGTCGATTGTCGATTCAGACCGTATGTTCGATTAGCGCTACCATGTCTGTTGGTTGTTGTTCCAAACGGGCAAGTTCCATACGTATATGGCTCTTCAGCCCACGTCGGTAGTGGCTGATGAGTGCGCTGGCGTCCCATCCTGTCTGATTGCCGTATCTCTGGAATTCTGTGGAGTACGTGAGGGCGCTGCCAGTCTGCTTAAGTGCAAACAGATGGTCTTCCGCGGTCTTAATCTCATCGATGTCTCCGAACATGCGTCGGATTTCCTTACAGAATCCTTTCCAGCTGCCAAACATAGTCTGCGTAGTTGCCATGCTTCCATTGGTACTCTCATATTTGAAATAATCCTTGAGGAATGGTTCGATCCATCACAGGGCTTCCCCCCTAAGGTAGGATGCAGTCCACAGGGCATAGCTCTCCTGGGTGGGAAACTTCTCGTCATTGAAGTGCTGGTACAGTTCAACCTGTAGCAAAAACACCTCAAGTTCCTTTAGGTTGCCGGAGTAAGTGTCGGGCAACTTGACGCGTAGAGTTTCCTTGAGTTCGTTGACGGTGGGTGCATCAGGCATCTCCTCATTCTCAGGCTTCGACCTCTGAGACGAAGTTGGCGTGGTGGGGGTTTTCCCCTTCGAACTGACGACAGACATGTTGCTTTGTGTATGAGCCAGTGCCTCGTAGAAGTGGTGCTCAAAGTGTAACGCTGACTTCTAAACGATAGAAGACACAGAGGTTCTCTTGCGTAAAGGTTTACTTATCAGAGGAGGCAGGGGATCGGATGTCATACTGAAATTCGTTGCACTCAGTTTGCTATCAAACTCAAGAGCAAACTTGGAAATCTCCTCCTCAAACCTACAAGTCACTATACATATTTTTTGCTTATCACACCAACAACAAGAGCAATACTACTCAACGATTGCTACAACCATCTATGATTCATTACACGTCATCGCTCCTTAGTTACTGGGCCGATATTACCACATAGCATATCTCTACAACCCTCTATGATTCATTACATGACATCACTCATACTACCACATGACATATCTCTACCAACTAGAGGCCTAGGAGCATGAACGATAGCTCTAAAAGCTCCTACGAACCTCTATGATTCATTACATGTCATCGCTCTTTAGTTACCCACAAGATTGGTTAAGTTATGACATAATTTGTCTATGACATAATTTGTCTATGACATAATTTGTCTATAGGGGTACTCTGACCTTGGACCTCCTTTTACTTCCTATAGGCTACGAACCTAAGAGATGGTTCTATGGGATTCTCTTACGTCGACTACAGTTACCAAGCCTGGTAATCATGGAAAGTCTTGGAAAATGAGAGAACTACACTCCTTTAGCATAAATAGGATTGCCCTTTCCTTAAGAAAGGGTAAGCAGACAATACAGTAAATCGACTATCACATACTTCCACGTCTTTTCCAAGCTTCCAAGCATTCATCTTGTTACTCCTTGTTTCTGAAAAGTCAGTGAGGTGTTAATCTCTGACTTACCCCTGAGTTCCCAGACTCAACATTTGTTGCAACTTGTCTGAACCACTTCACTACATCACACACCTGATTGCTGCGTTGTGGAATAGTCTAAGCTACGACCCTTTGGCTCTGTTTTCTAAGACAGTGTGTTGTCTTAGTAAATTCATCCCTTCCTTGGGTGGCTAGATTCTCACATCTGGTGCACCCACCATTACATCGGATACAAAGGCTTCAAGTAACACGTTACTAGTATATAACAAATACTGTATTGAGTTGAGCACGAAGCTCCTATCTAAGAACTAACTATCTACTTATATAGTGGCGTCGTGCCTAGTGGACTCCTGGGAACTCACTCGAGTCCTCGGAGTCCTGGACTCTTAGGATTCTTCTCATCATCCTGCGAGTCCGTCACGTGCCTAGTGGACTCCTGGGAACTCACTCGAGTCCTCGGAGTCCTGGACTCTTAGGACTCTTCTCATCATCCTGCGAGTCCGTCACGTGATACTTTCGGAACTACTATTCCCCGCTGCCCCTCCAGGTACCAGGGCCGGTCTCATGCGACCTCCCTCCTTCCTGTCCTGTAGTTGGCCAGCCTTCTTGTTCCGTCGTAACACTGGTATTCAAAATGACCATAGCGTGTTCTGAATGCTGTCTTCCACTCATCACCTTCCTTGATGCGTATCAGGTTATAAGCTCCCCTGAGATCTAACTTGGTAAAGATCCTTGCTGAAGAGAGCCTATCTATGAGCTCAGGGATAAGGGGTAAAGCATATCTGTTTTTAACAGTGACTGCATTAAGGCCCCTATAATCAACACAGAGACGCAAGGAGCCATCTTTCTTCTTGACAAAGAGAATGGGAGCTCCTGCTGGTGAGGAAGAAGGTCTGATAAAGCCAGAACTAAGGTTCTCATCTAGGTATTCTCTGAGAGTTTTCAGCTCTAATTCAGATAGAGAGTAGATAGGGCCGGAGGGAGGCATTGAGCCTTCTGCGAGTGGTATCTCATGGTCATAAGGCTGGTGCTTTGGCAGAATTGATGCCTTTGCCTTGTCAAAAAGATGTTGGTAGTCTTGGTATGCTAAAGGCAAAATGACCTCCTGAGATGATTTCTCCAAATCTGAAGTAGCTGCTATCTCCAGGACAGGTTGGAAAGGTTTAACCCATATCAGAGATGATATATCGTC